AGGGCTGGCATGGGTCTCCATATGGCTCTTCCAGCTCCAGGGCTCTGGCTGCCATCAGCATAGCTCCATGTAGCTTGTCAGCAGGAAGAGGAAGCCGAAAGAGTGTGTTCCGCCTCCAGGCAGGAAGACAGGAGTTCCCAGAATTCTCGGGAGAAGTTGCATGATTGGCTATGACCTACCATATATACCCGTGTATAAGCCGAGTTTTTCAGCACAAAAAATGTGCTGAAAAACTGGGGTTCGGCTTATACACAGGTCAGTGATACCTGACAGACCCAGACCCAGACCCAGCCGCTCACTGCCTCGCCGCCGCGCCATATCGCCGCCTCGCAGACCCAGCCGCTCACCGCCTTGCCACCGGGTCGAGTGGGTGCATCTTCTTGTCAAAGGGATCTACTTGATGTACTTGAGACCACAGCCATCAGGAATATTCCTTGTATTGGTGCCTTTCCTTCCCAAACCTCATACCCTAAGCAGAGCTGCCTCTGGATGTATCTTTGAATAAGCCTTTTTAAGACTGTGTGCGAAGGATGTGGCATGAATGGATGTCATCTGGTCAAGCCCGACTAACAAAAGGAGGAAATCTCATTAAGCGTGACATAGAGTTCTTAGCAAAGTGGGTTCGAGATGCATGGGAAGACATTCCAGAAGATATGGTGCGATGTGCCTTCCAGAAAGGTGGTATTAGTCATGCTACGGATGGCAGTGAAGAAGGCGATCTCAGTGAGGACAGCGTCTATGTTGACCTCACGCCAGCTGACGCCCTACATTGGGATACGGGTGATGACGAGGAATCCAGTTCTGAAGGATTTTAACTCTTCATATTTTAGCTTGGTTGCTGATTGAGCTCAGGGAATAGTACTCTTAGGCATCATTGTTGATACCTTATTGTTTTTGTTGAACCTATTTTCCACTTACTGTGCTGGTTTACTAATGTTAAATGACTTGTTGTCATTTTATTTGTTTTTCACTTAAATATTTAAATACATTACCCCACCGATGTCTCAATTTTTAGTAATTTTATTTTCATTTGTTTTGATTAGTGAAACTCACCAATAGCTTCTGCATTTCCCACCCTAGGCTTATACTCGAGTCAATCAGTTTTTCTGGTTTCCCAGGTAATATTTAGGTACCTCGGCTTATACTCGGGTCAGCTTATATTCGAGTATATACAGTAATTGACAGGCTAGGCTCTACCCCTTCGCTCAAGTTGACAGGAGATTATGTAACTGCACACTACCTAAGGAAGGAGGTGGGAAGAGTGCCGCTGTTACATTGTGGCATGACACAAAGTGTGTACAAATGGTTGAATGGAAAACTACCAATTTGCTCTGTAAACTTTCATGGTATTTTTTCTTTTCTTTCTTTCTTTCTTTTTTTTTTTTTAAGAGAAATCTTGTCTTCACTTCTGTCCAGTCCCATAGATCTGGTGACACTTGTTTGGGAACACTTAAATCTTTAGTATCATTTTACAAACTAGTTAAGGAATGTGTCTGTGACTCTCATAGATAGTGGCTTCTGTAATCTGTCCTCATTAGGAGAAACCTGGGCTTTATAATAACAGACACAGTAGTGAATTCTCTATGTATGCTTATATTTTAAAGTGGGAGCCTGGGTCTGTACTCTGGGAATGAGAGGGTCAAGAAGACAATTAGTCAGTCTTTGTAGATATTTATTCATCCATGATGTAAATATATAACATAAGATAACAACATAATGAAATGGAACACTTGAGCGGTACATATCATTTAACCCAAACATATTCTATTTCTAGAACTCAAAACACTTAACTTTTCTGCTGTTGAAACAAATGACTAAGAGAGCAAATCCCCGAGAGGCTGGGCAGCAGGGAGAAGACAGAGGTTATATGAAGTGGACACTGGCTATATTTGGTAGGCAGAATAAAGTATATTTAGGTTTTGCTAGTAATGAGATGTCTTGGAAGAAGTACAGCTAGAGTGGTCCCTGGAGGAATGGGTGACAAGACATTATATACTTTGGGCATGTTGTCAAGAGGGACGAGTCCCTGGAGGAGGACATCATGCCCGGTAAAGCCGAGGGGCAGTGGAAAAGAGGACGGTCCTCAAGGAGATGGATGGACACAGCGGCTGCAGTGACGGGCTCAAGCATAGGAGCAATTGTGCGGATGGCGCAGGAGCAGGCAGTGTCTCGCTCTGCTGTGCAGAGTCGCTATGGGTCGGAACCAACTTGACGGCACCGAACCACAACAAGAGAGTAATGAGGATTGCTGCCAAAAATTAACCACAGGCTGTCTGCTCTTGTTTTTATAAAGGGAATAAGCAACATCATGGCCTGAAGAGGCCCAGGAGAATAAGGCCTTTGGGCAGAGCATTGTCTTCTTCTTCCTGGGATTTTCTGCTTGAAAACCCTGACATGGGAGCTTCTGGGCTGCACATCCTAACCCGGGTAACAGCTGTCACCACAGGAGACCTGGGGAAGCTGGGCTAGAGGAGGACTTGTTTTCAAAGGGATCTGCCTTGTAAGAAGGAGCCCTGGTGGCAGGATGGGTTAAGTTTCAGGCTGCTGACTTCAAGGTTCAAACCCAACAGCTACTCCAAGGGAGAAAAACGAGGCAGTCTGCTTCTGTAAAGATTTACAGTCTCAGAAGCCCCATGGGGCAGTTCTCTCTTGCCCTATAGCATCGCTAGAAGTCAGAATCCACGAGACAGCAGTGAGTTTAGAGTTTGAGGGCCTCCTAAATTACAGCTTTGTATGTGTTTCAGAAGTGAGAAAGGTAGGGGCCTCTTGCTTAGGACTGGCTCCAGCTATTCTTCCACTTCCTGTACAGATGGAATAATTGTCTCTTATACTGCAAGCCTGCAGTGTGAGAAAGGGCTGAAGGCTGCCCTTTGGGAGCAAGAGGAAGGTGTGGCTGGAGAGAGAGGACAGAGGTTCTAGTTTCTAACCCACCTGGGGATGTGTAGGACCCCCTGAGTAAGTTACTGTACTTGCCTTGAGGGTCTCACTACCTAGAACTGTCAGGGTGTTCCCTGTGAGGAATCAGTTAAGGACATCCTGGAGCTAACACAATGGGCTAAGGGAAGCTCAAGCTATAATACAGCAAGCTGAGGAAAATCAGTAGAAGTAGAAGTCTACTGAGACCTGAAATAGACATGTGGGTGATGGTTGGCCAAGATGCCTTTTCAGAGGATGCTCTTGCTTAAGATAGAAGGTTCTCACTCAAAGAACTCACTGCCATCGAGCCGATGCCGACTCATAGTGACCCTGTGGGACAGGGTAGAACTGTCCCTGTGAGTTTCCAAGAGTTTAAGGGAGTAGAAAGCCTTGTCTTCCTCTGGTGGAGCACTAGTGGTTTCAAACTGCTGACCTTGTGGTAACCACTGTGCTAGTAGGACTCCCAAAGATAAAGGCAGGGAATAGACATGACACCGGCATGGAGGAAATGGCGAGGGTTGATGTTTGGGAAGTTATATCTAGCAGAGAATGGATTAGAACAGTAGTCCCGTGTCTGAGGTTCTTTCTAAAGCTCCGGGGGATGTGGTTATAAAGATAGTAATGGGGAAAGATGAACTAATCGCAGTATCATATGAAGCATAAATGAAGCATGCGCTTATTATCAACAAAGCCCTGGAGATTAGAAAGGGAAAAAAGCACTCCATTTGTTACCTTGGTCTGTAATTGCATGAGGTCACTATTGTAAAACCAGCTCTCTGGTGTGATAAGAAGCTCTACTTGGCTGCCGCTGTAGCCTTGGGGATTTTGAATGTAACGGGTGGACTCTATAGTGGCCACTGACCATCCACAATGCAGTTCATCGTAGACCCAGCTACAGGAGGACAGCACAATTGAGTAAACTAGATTCTGTGGTAGGAGTTTTGGGACCCACCAGGATAGAACAAGTAACATTCCAGACTTTCTCAACCTGAGCTCTTCAACTCTATTTGACAATTTGATTCATTGTTCAACCCGAAAGAAAATAAAAAGTATGTGATCATCAAATTATAGTCAGTGAGACCAGGGCATGAAAGGTTCTTCCATACAGCTGACCTGGCTTGCCTTAGACCCTACACAGGAGCAAAACTACTTTGTCTTCTTTCCTCCTCTCCTAGTGAAGAGCTATGGAAAGGTAGGGTCAAGCAGGAGTCCCTGGGGGTACAGTTAAGGCCCTCAGCTACTAACCAAAGGATTAGAGGGTCACGTCCACCCAGAGGCACCTTTGGAAAAGAAGAGCTGGTGATCTGCTTACCAAAATCAGCTCTTGAAAACACTACGGAGCACACTTCTATCGTGCCACACCTGGGGTCGCCGTGAGTCAGAATCATGGGGACAGCAGCTACACTGGAGGGTCCCCCACTCCTCCTGGGCTGTCAGAGAAATAGGAGGTTAGCTAGCACAGCACAGGAGAGGAAGCGGCCACAGAGGAAGCTTGAGCTTGACGTTCAAGAGTCTGGAGCAGACTCACCAGCGATTGAGTTTAACAAGACTGGGACACTGGGCCTCAGTTGGCTCAACTATTGAGGCCAGGTTTTTAAGCCCCATATCACCATATCCCTTGATCTACAGGAGCTCTAAACAACCCCAAGTTTGCAACAGTGGCGAGGGGAAGGAGAATGATGGCTGAGTTCCTTTGAGCTTGGCAAGCCAACTGAGCGTTTCATAATGGTTGGCAAAGGCTGCTGAAGCATATCCGCTCCTTTTGTTAAACTTGGAGGAGGAATTGGGGCCAAGTCAAGAACTGATATATTTGCTATCTGTCCTTTCAGTGTGATTGTTTCGGAAATGTGGTGACAGTTTCTATTTTCTAGAGTATTTCAGGAAGGGAAAATGCCTTCACACTCTTCCTTGTGAGTATGTGCACATGGGAACCTTAGGTCTGGCCATCTCTTTCCTTTGCTGGCTTCATGGGTTTTGGTCCGCATGCCCCTTGCCCATCCTCTCCTCCCCCGGCCCTTCTTACTGTGCCTTAGCACGGGGTCGGCATGGCCTTCACTCCTGCTTTTCGTTTGTCTCCTTCCCAGAGCCAAGCTATGCGAATTGTCCGGACAGTGGGGCAAGCCTTTGAGGTCTGCCACAAGCTGAGCCTCCAGCACACGCACCAGAATGCAGATGGCCAGGAAGACGGGGAGAGCGAGAGGAACAGCAACAGCTCCGGGGACCCAGGTAGGTGCCCTCGCTGGTGGGAATGGAGAGGCAAGGAGGCACAGGGTGTTTGGAGACCAACTCCTACTAGGCGTTGGAGTTAATGCCGATTAAAAGCATTTGACTTCTGTTCTGTCCCAGCTTGCAGATTGCATTTAAGGAACATGTCTCGTTTTTATAACCAAATAAGAGATGTTTATGCTATCCATTGAGGAAAAATTTAAATGGGATATCAGGGCACACTTTCTAAGGGTCCCACTGTTTATTCTACCCAATTTGACCCCTAAAGAAAGCTTCAATATAAAAGGGCTCCCCATAAAAATATGCGAAGTATGCTCCCTATAAAAATACAAATTTACAGTTACCTAAATAGTTGTGTGTGTGTGTGTGTGTGTGTGTGTGTGTGTGTGTGTTTTCTAACATTTTCTCCTACAGACCCTCAGTGTGGGTAGTATTCCCATATTTTCCATTTTCATTAAAATTCAACAATGAAACAAAAGTACTGTCATTTATCATCTCTATTATTAATAAGTGTGCAAAAAGAAGTGTAATGACTAGAAAAGAGCAGGTAAAGCTGAACATTGTTCGTGTTATCTATTTATATGGAAAGCACAACAGCAAAAACTGAAAACTATAAAAAGTACTAAAAATTTTAGTTAAAGAGCTAGTTTCAGTATTGCACAAAGAAATATATGGCTTTTATAGATTACAGCCATAACCAGTTAGAAGTCATAGTGGAAGAAAAAGTTCACTTATTAGAACTTGTTTTTTAAGTTTAGCTACATATGAATTATCACAGTTAAAATGCAAATGTTTTATATGAAAAATTTTTTTAATGGAAAGGCATACCATAATGGGAGTTTTAATATCACAAAGATACCAATCTATAAATTTAATGTAACAATAACAGTTTCTAATAGCAATCACTGGCTGTGTGATCTGGAGCAAACCTCTTAACCTCTCTGTGCCTACTTCATAGTAAGGAGCATAGTGGTTTAAGTGTTAGACCACCACATGCTTAGCAACGCTTCAAACCACCCACCAGTGCTTCAAATGCACCAGCTGTTCGGTGGGAGAAAGACACGCTGCCTGCTTCCATAATGATTTACCAGGAGTATCCGAAACCAGGAGTAGTTCTACTCTGTCCTATAAGGGCACTATGTATCTGAATTGACTCAATGAATAGCCTGCGGTGAGGCAGGCTACCTTTTAGTATTGTGAAGACAGTTATATGAGGTGGTACATTTACAGGGCTGAGCACAGTGCTTGGCATACAATAAGCACTGCAATGTGATAGATCACTTCTATGTGACTTTTTTATATGAACTTTTTTGCCATGTTCTTACAACCTCCCCCAGATGACTGGGTTATTGTTAGGTACCATCAAGTCAGTCTGACTCATAGTGACCTTAGGTACAACAGAACGAACCACTGTCTGATCGTGCACCATCCTCACAATTGTTATGTTTGAGCCCATTGTTGCAGCTACTGGGTCAACCCGCTGTGTTGAGGGCCTTCTTTTTCTCGCCCTTCTACTTGACTGGGTAAGTCCATGGTCAGACTGGGTCGGACTGTGCAAATGAGGTGCTTGTGGCCTGTCAGGGGGATTGGATGGCTTGATAACAATGCAGCTGAGGTGCATGGTTCCCTTGTGGGGATGGAATCGTGCAATTAAGTATGGAGCCCCAACAAAGGGATTGGTCAGTGTGGTCATCCTACTAGGCTTGAGATGGGCAGAGGACCTTACTATCACTGAGGAAGAAGAGCTAGGAGTATTTTGTAATTTAATTTGCTTAATTTAGTTTAGTTTAATTTAGTTTGCAAATTTAGTTTGCTTCCTTCAAATCAGTCTCCACTCGCAGCAACCCCATGGGACAGAGAAGACTGCCCCACTGGCTATTCTCTGCCATCCTTTTTATAAAAGTCTTTCTCCCTTGGAGCCCTTGGTGTATTTGAACCACCAACCTTTCCATTAGCAGCCAAGTGCTTAACCACATGGACCACCACGTCGCTTTAGTAGAGCCAAAGGCAACAATTCCCTCATACTGAGGCATTTCCAGACCTACCTTTATTTAGTCAGCTGCTTTATCTTCCTGCTTCTGAATTGAGGGATTTGCAGTCAAAACTGCTCACTGGGGAAGATGGACCCTTTGCAGTATAAATCTTCTTTGATGGCACCTTCCTGCCTTGATAGTGGAGAGCTGTAGTCTAGTTCTCAAACACTTAGAGATCCATCAGTTACACTGGTATCCAGTACACCAAGAAATTCTATCCCAAAAGTAAAGGAGGTCTGTCATCTGCTATAAAGCCACGTAAGCCTGAATAATGGAAAGGTGTCAGATACCTAGAGGGGCCTGCAGGTCAATATATTAGAAAATTGCTATTATCATGAAACTCTTACTCGAGCAGGTTCATCTCTTCTCCAAACATCTAATCAGAAACAGTTGTCTGTCTGGAGAGATCAGGATTGTGTGATTGGATGGTTTGGAGAGAACAGCCTTGAAGGTGGCCTTTGGGGTAGACAATGAAGTCCTTTTTCACTTTCTACAGAGGGAACTGCTCTGTCCTGTCATCCCTCACCCCCTGCAGGGGTCTCCTGGGTAGAGCAGGTTGATGTACTGTCCTGGGATACTGTGGAAGACACTCCTGGGGCTGGAGGATTGAGGGTCTATGGGGTTTCCATCGGGACCATTCCCTATCCTTCCTGTCTCATCTTCCCCTACTCCTGTCCTTGCAGCCTGACCTCTTCCCTGCTTCTGAATGTATCAGGTACCTTCTAACCTTTATCAATGCTGTTTCCTCTACCAGGGATCAGGGCCCCGCCTCCCATCCACACAGGCACCCCACTCTTCCTTCAGTCCCTGTGTTCATGTCTTCTGGGAAGCCTTCCTTCCAGCTCCCACCCTCTTCCCTTCACCTTCCAAAGAATGGAAACATCAATCTTCTCTTAACCCGTGTTCCCTTAATCTCTGGCTCAGGCTGTAGCATAAACATTAGCCCATTATGCATCAGACACGGGGAGCGTATCTTCTCTCTCTAGTGGACTGGGAACTCTGGGCAGCTGGGGACTGTTCCTAGCATAGCCAGTACTTATTGATTACACTGACTAACACGCGAAGGGAGGGGGGCCAAGGAATAGATGTCACTGTGGAATAGATTGTCAACTAACACTTATTGAACACTTACAGCAAAATGAACTGAGACTGAATAGTTATTTCAACGGCACGAAGCTTTTCAGACTGTGTCCTTGATGAAGAATGACGGTGCTAGGTACCACTGGGGTGAATGAGGCATGTAACAGTGAGACTGGAAGGCTGAGCAGGGAGGGTCAATGGGAAGGCAGATGACAGTACAAGCAGCCATGGTTTCAGATAGATACTAAATCCTGTTAAGCTCTTTACTCTAAAAGATGGGCAGCATTAAAATAATGGGCTCACTGGGTCTTTGTGCTTCTTGTCATTAACTTTTTGCTGATCTTGTTCCCAAAAATGATCCTGCGTGTGTTGTTTGTTTGTTTTTTTCAAGGACGGTCAGGCTTGGATTGGCTGTGGTTTCTGTGCCCGTCCTGGCATTGCTGTAGAGTAGGGTCAGTAGTGGGCTTCTCACCTCCATGGTGTGTGGAATGATGGAAACCATGAAAGAACACATGGGCTGGAGGAGCCCTGAAGCAGCAGATTAAGGCAGCACCCGTGAGGAGTTGGGGTTTGGGCTGGACGCCTTACTCTTTACAGGAGTAGAAGACCCTGTCTTTCTCCCATGGAGCAGCTGGTAGTTTTGAACTCTAGACCTTGGGTTAGCAGCCCAGCTACACCACCAGAGCTCCTCAAATCAGTTTAGTGTGTTACGTGTTGCAAGAAGTTTTAGCTCTGAGACATTTTCTTCATTGCTGACTCCCCAGTCCCTGGCCTCCCGTATGAAAGGAAGAAAGAAAATCGGTAAGAAGACCTCGGCAGCCCTACGAATGTGTGACAAACCCAGAAAAATTCACCGCCGTCTGGTCAATTCCAACTCTTTGCAACCCTGTAGGACATAGAACTACCCCTGTGGGTTTCTTTGTGGGAGCAGACGGCCTCATCTTTCTCTCGTGGAGTGCCTGATGGGTGTGAACTCCCCACTTTGTCTTAGCAACCCAGTGCTTAACCTACAGCACCCCCAGGGTTTCTGAGTATACTTGGAGTGCTCTAGATCTGGGTTAAGGAAAGATGCCTCCTTTTATGTAGTTGTTAGCAGCTCTGGAGTCACACCACCCCCAACTTAGCGGCACCTCCCCATCCCCCACCCTCCTACCCCACCCCACCCCACACACTCAATAGGGTGGCTGAACCATTGCGATGCATGGGGTTTACAGTGGCAGATTTTCAAAGGAAGATTTTGGGGGGGGGGGGGCTTTGTTTCCTTCTCCTTCTTGGTCTGGAAACTTGTTAACGCTTGACAGGCAGGTGGGGTGTGTGCTTGGGGTTCATTGGCTGGGAATTGAACCCACGCCTCCTGGAAGAAAAGTATCCCACTAGGCTCACAGTCACTTCCATTTCCCTGTTCAAGTTACCTTTTTCTCATTCTCTGTAAACTGCTAAGAACAATCTGTTTTTTCTGTAAAAACTCCCCCACAGGAGCATGTGTTGACTCCACCAGGATTTTTCTCTGGAAAGGGGGCACCTTGAGGCTCCGCAGTGGAACTATTGGCTGAGGATTTAAAAAGAAAAAGAGTCTCACTTCCACATTCAGCAGCTTTTCATTAGTGCCCTGTTTATCTTTCCAACGCCCCCCCCTTGAAGGGATGGCAGGCCCTTTATTGCGCAAAGGAGAGTTGTTTACTCTGAAGGAATTGGCAAGTAAGGAGGGTTTGCTGTCTTCTTTGATGCCTTGTCAGCTCTTCCCTTTTGGGTTTCAGCGGTGCATTTAATGATGTCTCTTCCCCTCCCCAGGTGCCCTCCTTTCTTTCCAGCCGCTCGCTTCCTACTGGTCCCCACCTGGGGGGATTTGTCTTCTGTGTCTTTTGGCAGTCGCTGCCCTTGGCCCTCTCTGGGCTGGGAGTCAGGTGGGGCCCACCACTCCTGTTCTGCTTGCCTTATTCTGTCTGCTGGCCCTGTTTCTCAGACTGTCCTGGGCAGGGCTTCCCGGAGGAGACCCCCAAGCCCCTGGAGGCATCCCTCCCCCGAAGGCTACAGACAATCCGGGTTCTTCACATGACAGCTGTGGCTGTCTAGACAGTGAACAGTGGTTGAGGAATACGTATTGAGCACCTGGCCCATCTGCGGGACCTGGGCATCCTGCTCACTCAGAGTGACTTCATCTTGAGCCTCCCCTAATCGGCACCCCCACAGGCCACCACTCAAGGACCCTTTGTTTCCTCCGAATGCATTAGTGTCACTTCCCTCCTTCCAGTCAGCAGACTGTTGTCAAGTTCCTGCTGCATGCTTGGGAGTCCCTGGGTGGTGTAAAGGGTCTTAGAATCCACCCAGGAGGTCCTTGGAAGAAATGCCTGGTGATCCACTTCCCCCAAATCAACCACTTGGAACCCCATGGGGTGGAAACAAACTGTAAAAGGAACCCCTGCGGAGCACAGTTCCACTCTGGCACACACGGGGTCACTGACGAGGGGGTGGGGGGTGGGGTGGGAATAGATTCCAGGGCACCTGGATCTGTGTGCTGAGTGCATTCCTGCTGCTGGGAATGCCGAGAACATGATACCCACGTCCCCGCAGTGAGGCGCTCCCATTCAGAGCTGGGATGGGGATGCAAGCAAGGACCCAACACGATGGTTTTAGAAGTGTGAAGGCAGGGGAGAAAATAAGGAGAATGGCAGGGAGGGAGGAGGGGATCGTTCCAGTGGCAGCCGGAAACCTATTGGGAGGCAGTACGACCATACCTGCTACCTGCCTCAGTTTCTCCATTTGTCTGCCACATGAATTTAATACCCATACCCCCATCTCCGGGTGCTTAGGAGGTTCAGGGAGCGAATGCATGCAAAGCGCTGGGACCAGGGCCTGGGGCCTATGGAGGCTCTTCCCATTGAAGCTGTCACTCTTGCATTTGCCAAGGCAGGAAGTGACCATTTCAAGCCTTTAAAGGCAGCACGTCATCCCTTGTCTTGTTGTCAATGCAGGCAACCCAGAAAAAGCCCTTAGCATGAGTCCAGCAGCAGGGACATCCACCACTCACAGAGCGGGGTCCTGCCCCCAGACTTTCAGAGAGATGGGCGGACACAGTGGCCACAATAGTAGGTACAAACATAAGAACCATTGTAAGGCGGTGAGGGACCAGGCAGTTTTTCAGTCTGTTGTCCGTAGGGTCTGGATGAGTCAGAGCCGACTCAAAGTCAGACACGAGGGCACCTGGACGCACCACCACTATCCCTAGACGTGACCGGGGCTCCTTCCCCAGTCAGCGTCCTTCTGCCGGCCCTGCCGGCCAGCTTAGTGGCCAATGTCCTCCTGTCCAAGATGCACCTTTCACCCACCTCTGTGTTTCATCCCATCGTGCCTCTCCCTGAGCCTGGACCTGTCATTCACCCCGAAATAAAAGCACGTCTTTCCCATCTTCAAAATGAAATGAGACCAGACCTTACTTGTCTCTCCACCCCCCACTGTGACGATCTCGGGTGCTGTTGGGTCCATGTCGACTCACGGCACCCTCCACGACCAAGGAGAGCTGCCCCGGCGCGCTGGCTCAGTGGAGATCTTTACCGAGGCAGCACATCTCCAGGCCTTTCTCCCCTGGCACAGCGGGATGGGGTTCACATTGCCATTTCCATTTGTTAGATGGGTGCTTAACCATTGAGCCACCAGGGCTCCTGCCTCTCCCCCAGCCTAATGCATTATCTCTTGCCTTTCCTTCACTTTTAAAATAGGACCATCCTATGGGGATGGGAATTTAATACACTTGAGTGGGACACTGGGTAAAAATATGATGGAGCTCCGGGCTTGACAAGCAATGCCTAGGTAGTGCAAGCAGTTAAGTGCTCACCTATGAGCCTGAAGGTTAGTGGTTTGAACCCAACCAGAGGCACCCCAGAAAACAGGCCTGGCGTCCTGCTTCTGAGAAGCCACAGCCTTGGAAACCCCATTGGAGCACTTCTGCTCTGCACACATGGCACCAACCAGCAACTGACAGCAACGGCTAAAAATGTGAACGTTTGGAAAGGTAGGACATTGTTGTTGACTTCACAGTTCCCCTTCTCCGTTGTCCCTGCAGGCCGCCAGCTCACAGGAGCCGAGAGGGCCTCCACAGCCACTGCGGAGGAGACTGACATCGACGCCGTAGAGGTCCCACTTCCAGGGAACGACATCCTGGAGTTCAGCCGAGGGGTAACCGACCTTGACGCAGTTGGGGATGAAGGAGGCTTCCACACAGATGCTAAGGTAGCCAGAAGGGGCGCACGCTGGGGCTCTGCACATGGGTGTTCCTGCTGGCACAGCCGATATTACAGCCTCAAGCTCCCTGCCTTGGCTGGGTCAGCATCTGAGTGAGGCCCTCACAGCACGTGGCAGGGCATGAGCATGAACATGGACCCCTTCCTTTCCAAAGGGCTGAACCCCTCCTGGGATTTAGCTCCGAGTGCCAACTCCAGCAAGAAGGGTGCTGCTGAGCTCTGTCCTGGCATGCCTGGACCCACCGTTACGTTTGATCGCCTCCTTATCCCCAGCACCCTCTGCCCTTAATGGCATGTAGCCTCTGCACAGTCTTTGTGCCAGGCTAATCCCTGCATATCCGCAGACGTAATCCCCTGTGGTTTGGGTAATGGAGCAAAGTGAGCTTTGGCTCCTGCGGCCTGCAGTAGTGTTGGTGTGCCCTCAGCTCTGTGGAGGCCAGGAACCGGTTCAGTGGCTATTAGGATCTGGGAGACCACTGTAGGTTTCCTTTGCCAGGTGGTGTGACTGAGGCCCTTAATATGATTCAAATTAAGCAGCTAAAAGCTTGAGACCAAATTCCAACCTGAACACAAAAGAGAAGAAAACTAGAAGGAAGAACAGTAAGAGTGTGGCCCCGTGGGTGCCCTAGGTTCCCCATCAGTCATCTGCCGAGGGAGAAGGCTGTCTAGTTTGGAGGTCAGTGGAGTTTGGTGCGCAGTGTGTTCCCTACCAAGGGGCAGCACTGTGGGTCTCTTCCTCTCCCATTGTTCGAGGAAGGATCAGCAGCAGAACTCCGGGAGGCAAACCACCCTCCCTGCAGCTCCATAATGACGGAATGAGGTGCAGAAGCTGTCCTCCTACAAGTGCCCAGTTGTAGAGGAGACTCAGGAAAGGGAGCAGGGACCACTTCCTGCTGAAGAGGGAAGATCTCTCTCCTGACCATTATTTGTTTAATACCTAAACTTGCTTCCCCGGTGGGCTTCACTGTGAACGGAGGCAGTGGGGGATTGTGGAGCTCCCTCCTGTCACGTGACCTCTTCCTCCAATGAGAAGCACCCTGTCCCTGCGGGGTTGTAGGTAGCCACTTCTATAGAAATCTATTCCTACCCCTTAAGTAATTCAAAAATACGGTATCATTTGTTCGTGGTGGGCCCGAGATGGGCAATTTCAGTTGTCTTTCTCCCATCATGGGAGACCTGGTGGCTTAATGGGTAACGAGTTGGGCTGTTAACCACAAGGTCAACAGTTCAAAACCACCAGCCTCTTTGAGGAAGAAAGATGAGGCTATATACTCCTGTCAGTATTTGCAGTCTTAGAACCCCCTGGGGGCAGTTGTACTCTATCCTCTAGGAATTGGCTCGAAGGCAGTGAGGTTGAGTTTTTTGTCTTCTATCACATTGGCCCAACTATTGAAGTGTCCAAAATGATTTTCCACCCATGTACACCATCTTTGAATTCCCCACGCCTCTTTCCATGGAAGACATCAGCATTCCCAGCTGTGGGTTACAAAGGGGCCGTTTCACTTGGCCCACATTCATGGCTATGTCTACATGGACTGAGTGAGCTCCCTAAAAATGACGCCCGCCCATGTGTCATGCCCTGCTGTCTCTTCTCCTCTAGGTTTCTCCCCACCCACAGGAGCCCATGCTGACAGCCTCGCCCAGGATGCTACTTCCCTCCTCTTCCTCGAAGCCACCAGGCTTGGGCTCTGGGACGCCACTGTCCACCCACCACCAGATGCAACTCCTGCAGCAGCTCCTCCAGCAGCAGCAGCAGCAAACCCAAGTGGCTGTGGCCCAGGTTCTCCTCAGCCTCCTCCCTACTTCACAGGCTCCACTCTCATGGGCTTGATGCGCCTTCCCTAGCCAGGGGCTCAGGGCAGGTTTAAAACTTAGGGAGCCATAAGGACCGCTCATGCTATCTGATCATTGCTTGTTAGGGACCCAGGGAGGCGGGAGGGAGAGAGATGGGGGATGCGGTTGAAATAGAAAGAAACATTTTTGGTTTCCCATGTATCCCCGTCCCCCCTCGCTCTGAAGTGGCTTTGGCTGGCTTGGCTGGATGTTGGATGATGACTCGATCTTACCATTCTGCCGCAAGGGAAAGAGGCACACAATTCCACCTTTCCCCCCTGCCTTCTTTTCTGGGCATTTGGAGTAGGGAGGGATGCCTTCGGGGTCAGGACAGGTGTGACTTGTGTTGCCACCCTTAAAAGTGCTTCGAGTATGTATTTGTGCCAACCTCCCTTGCAAAGTGTGCTACCCTCCCCTTCCAACCTCCTGGTCCATAACAATGCGCCTAAGCCTCCAACGGTGCCCCACTTACTCCAGGCAGTATTTGGTACAGTCCTGGCCTTAGAATTCATTCAAGTGACATGTTCACTTACAGGAATTTAGGTATATGATTTGCACCTTGAATTGGCTTGGTCCTCAAGCGCCAAATACTATTAGAGCTTCAAAGATTTATTGGGCTACTAAAAACTTGGTGGGACATGGGGCGGCCCGGGAGGGATGGTGTTCATTTCTCACACCATTTCTTACACCAGTGCTGTAAGCAGGGGTTCTTTCTGTTCGCTTTCTGTGAAGGGCATGATAGTCAATAACTTTGTTGGAACCTATACATCTGGGCTTCATTTTTACCCCAGTCAGCGAAGACATGCACTCACACCATGGAGATAAAGGCTGAACCTTAAGGGCACAGGTCTGGCAGGGCAGGGCCTAAGTGGGGAATGAAGACAGAGAGGGTGTGGCAGTGGGATTTGGGAGTGCAGGCAGAGGTTCTGGAAGAGTTGCTGTCTACGGTAGCGTTCTGCATCTGAGTGAGTGTTCTGGAATGGCAGGGAGAACGCTTCACCAGGGAGCAGTTATGAGCTCCTGTTGCACCTTTGCTCCCTCTCCTCCTGGCTCTCGGGTGGAGTGAGTCACCAGGCCGGGCTGGCTCTCCCATGCCTGTACCTTGAGCAAGCAGCCCGCAGCCTTGCCTGATCTGCTACCACAGGAATCTTGAATAGACCCTGGAAGATGGTCTCCCACTGACCTAGGCCTGGGGCCCAAGCTGGCTGCCAGGCTTCCTGAGAATAAGAGTTATTCAAGCCTTTTATAAAATTCTAGCCATGCAACAAAAGGAGGGGTGCTGTTGCTGGGAGGATTTGCAGGTGTCCCCAAAGCCAATCAGAGGAGGGATTGTCCTTAATGGATTCTTACATTGCAGGGTGGGCATTGAGCAGTCTTTCTTTGTCAAATCAGGAAATGCATCTGCTGTCCCTAATGACTGCCCAGCACTCCCGAGAAAGCCCATCCCTGGAGGCACAAAGCCTGCGCTCCAACTTGGGGTCCATCCGAAACTCTGGAATCGTTTCCAAAAGTTTCACGTAGACTACAAATACATTTGACGATTGTACTTATCTCTTTCAGTATATCAATTGCCAAGTAATTATTATTTATCTTCGAATGGGCTTGATGCATATTCATGATGAATATTATCGGAGAGGCATTTAAATTGGAGGTTACTGCTAGATACTAAAGAGAAACTGTTTGTCACTATATAACGTACGCAACAACAGTTGTGTTGTGGCAGTCCAAGGAAGCACTGGTCCACAGAGCAGCTAGACCCGTAACTTAGCCTGGGTCGATCTAAGTTGGGATGAAACCCCAAGAGTGGGTTTCTGGGACAGAGTTAGGCTGTACTAATGTCCCTGGGTCAGTGTTGTGCTGACTGATTTTATTGGCCTCTCTCCTTGAAGGCAGAAGACCTGGGGGTCAGAAGTGAGATGCTGGTGCCTGGCAATTCTAGTCGGTTCCACAAGCTGGGACACCTGCAACCTCCTCTTCATTTGGAATCTTTTGAGTTGATTATCGTTGGATGTGCTCAGGTTGACTCTCAGTTCGAGCAGATGATTGAAAGGCTGCCATAGTGAGATGAAATCCCACTTTGGTGAGACAACTTTGCATAGGATTCTAAACTCTTCTAGAATCTTTTAAGTTGGACACAACCTCAGAGGTCCTCTGATCGGGTCTGTTCCCCTAGTGGCTAGCATCCCATTAGGTAATCTCTGACCACCTGTCTTGTATTTGCCTCTTGCTTTCTTTGCTACCTAGGAAGGCGGCTGGGGTGGTGGTGTCTCTCTCTGCTGGCTGCCCGCTCCCATCCATCATGCTCATGGATCCAGTCAGCCTTCAGTGACACATCTCTCTGCATACTCCTCTTTCTCCCATCTCTTGGTTGCATTTGCTCAAAGACGTTTTGTCTCCAGATCCTTGGGTGAAAGCAGTCATATGAGAGATATAGAGGGATAAATTGATAGCTTTTCCTTAGCATATTTCAAGCATTTAAAATAGATCCAACCCTGCACCCTGGGTTGGTCTGTGTGAGCGAGGACTGGTTTCTGAGCTCAGTTTGAGGTCAGCATTTACTTGTTCAAGGCCAACTTTTACTTGTCTGTCAGAGGCTATTGCCACCAACCTGCAAAGCCTCTGTCTTTCTTTACATCGTTCATTTCTGGCTGTCTCCATGACACTGCCAGCAGTCCCAGAATTCCATTGGGTAAAGGTATAGCCTCAGCTGGGACCTCAGGTGGGAACATGGCTGCTCTAAGGCAGAAGACAGACTTCCTTGCAGACAGGTGCATTCTTGAGGTCACTTGAATTATACACCCGTCTCCCACTCCCCTTTATTCTCCCAGGCTAATCTGGTTCTTCTGTCGTCATTAGAACCCTGGCATGGGTCTCCTTGAAAGTGTTCTGATGGAGTTAAGACCTCAAGGCCTCTCCCAGCCTTACCCAAAGTTGGTTCAGATATGGCCTACCAGGAGTCTGCTATGCCTTTAAAGGTATCCGGGCAAATGTCGTGCCCAACAAGTTCTTCGATATTTCTAGGTTAGACCTCAGTGTAAATAGTGGACCCTTTTCCCCAAGCCGCTCCCCCTGCCACTCTCCCCACCCAGCATGAGGCTTGTCTGGCTGCACTAGCTTCCTGCTTTCAGATGGAGCAGACACTGGATGGAAATGAGGGCTCAGCCTAGCCGTGAACGCATATGGGAAGAAGTAGCTGGCATCCGCATGGCCAAGGACAAGGTTGATCCCCAGATCAGCTGTAGCTGTGAAGTAGGCCACATTAGTTTGTCATTTGCCAATTCCCAGCCAGCTCATGAACAAGAACTGTTAGTGCAGCTCGGGATTGCTATTTAAAGATTTCCCCTCTCCCTGCTGCGGTCTCCGCTTGCTGAGAACAGGTAATTGGTTATTTACGCTTCGCAGTCGTGTGTGCTGTGGTTAGTGCGAGGAGCTGTGCTAAATCGAAAACCCTGCACCCTACTCCCCAGACCCCAGAGTTAGCACCTGTCCTCGTGGCTTCTCCCCATGCCCAGCGCCCTAGGGTGTGCTACCCAGTCCCTGCTGTATGCATGTTGGGACAGCACTGCCCACCTCTGCTTGTGTGTCCTGTGTGGGGGGCAAATTGCTCTGGTTCTCTCCACTGCCATTTCCATGTGCCCGCCGCTCCCTAACTTCAGCCTGGCCCTGCCCCCACTTCTGATGGAGGAGCTGGAGTCCAGGCAAGTGGGCTGGAGAGCGATTGGGGTGGTGGTTTTGTTGGGTGGGGTGGGGAGGTGGGTGGGAGAGCTTGGGGAGAGACCTAGAGTTGGCGGGTGCAGGGTGGGATGTTGGCGTGTAGAACTGGGGCTGCAACCCAGGAGTGGGCATCTGGTCCCTGACACTCCAGGTTGAAGCCCTCCCACAGGCTTGGTTTGTGCCTGGAAAAAGTTGCTGTCGAAGATGACATGGCTCTGGAAAGGAGATGTTCATGCTTACCTTCCCAGGAGCCTTGGGGCACAATGGCTAAGTGTTGGCTTGTGACTCCGTAAGAGAAAAGACCTGGCAACCTGCCAGCATACAGGTGTCAGCCTTGAAAACCCAATGGGCCATTCTACTCTGTCACGTGGAGTCACTGGCTATGAGCAGAAAACCAGCTCAATGGCCCCTAACCACACCACCACCTTTGCCAACGGTCCTGGTCCAGAGTCAATATGATTATGACCCTCGGGGTTGCCATTGGAGCCGCCCCCAGCAGCCCCATGGGAAAAAGGCCTAGCGGTGTGCTTCCATTTAAAGCATAGATGAGAAAACCCCAGGGAATGGCTCCACCCAACCCCTGGGGTCAGCATGAGCTGAACAGACACCCCAGCAAGGGGTTAGATTTTGGGTTTTGGTGGTACCTGGGGGGGGGGGCGTTAACTTTGCAAAAGGTGTTTAAGTCTTTGAAAGAGAAGTGTGCTAACCACACATAAACTCCCCATCTGCCTGTGAGGAAATGTTCTCTGCTTCTGTTCCATGAATATGCGGAGCACTGACCCTAGCTGCCCCAACCAAGGCCGGAAACGGTACCTTGCCTCATTTAATGGTTTCCGGACGGGACCTACATCTGCCAAGTGCCAAGGCTGTTACATTGCCTCCGAGTTAGAAAGCAGTTCTGGCTGCTGTCTCCACATGGCCTCGTTGGGGCTCTCCTAAGTGCAGGCTGCTGCTGCCTGCAGCCTACGCTGTGGAGGGCTGCGGAGGAGGCAGAGGGCTCATTAGTGTTGGCTTGGGGCAGCGGCAGCACCTGCGTTCAAGTTCACAGGGTGCTGGAGGCCAGTGAAACTCGGAAGAGCCAGAAGGTGACGTTTCTGGGTCTGGAAAGTTTTCTGCTTTTGACAGATCAGTTACCACTTTTCTGTAGTTCTTTATCTAGTGGGAAATATGGGCGTTCTCCTTCTCGACTGGTTTCTGCTTTTCAGAGGTCTGTCTTCTGCAGGTCTTACCGTACCTGAAATGGCACAACGCGTGTGTGCCGAGGTGAAATTTTTGACGAACCTGATATGAGGGACCCTCAGCCTCCAGAGCAGCGGTTCTCAACCTTCCTCATGCCGTGACCCTTTCATACAGCTCCTCATGTGGTGGTGACCCCAACCATAACATTATTTTCATTGCTACTTCATCACTGTCATTTTGCTACTGTGAATTGGGCGACCCCTGGGAAAGGGTCGTTCGGCCCCAAAGGGGTCGCGACCCACAGATTGAGAACCGCTGCTCCAGAGGGTTTCCTCAAGACCCTTCCTGCCTGCTCATTTGTGCTGGGAACATTTGAACTAGGGGGGGTCTTCTTATATGTTTTGCCAAATAGTAGTTGCACTTTGGGAAAGTGTGTACCTGCCAAAGACGCTCCCAGCTCTGTCTCTCTCTTTTTCTTGGCTCCTGTGGGAGGAAACTCTTCCTTGATTCGCGGACCTCACAGTGGGGATGTAGGAGTGATATTTAGGAGACTCCAAGCAAGTGGCCCCTAATATGAACCACTGTGTATTCCTGGGTGTGGAACCAGACTGCCTGTGCCTCTAGTCGGCCCTCTCACTCCACAGATGCAGAGACTAAGGCCCAGAGAGAAGAGAGGCACTTATATTGGGAGTCACCAACAGACCCATGCGTATCCATTTCCAAGCCAATGTTCCCCAATGGCCTGTTCTGTTGGGGGGTGCAGAGACCTGAGCCTACCTCATGTGTGCAGGGAGCCCTCAATACACATTAGTTAGGAGTACACAGAATCCTCTACTTTCTCTGTGTACATCTCTGTTAGTCCAGGTAGACTAGAGAAACAAATTCATGCCTAAGAAAGAGCTTTATATACAAGCGCAATTGACTATTGAGAAAACATCCATTAGGTTCTTCCTCAGTAATGCCTCACAGGGAGTGAGCATGTGTCCCGCCTCCAGCAAGCCATTTTATCTCCATAGCACTTCCAAATCAAGCTACAACATGAATGACAGACCAGACTCCACCCCTCCACTCTTAAGGCTCAAATTGACAAGAGATTATATAACTACCACAACATCCCCTCAACCCCTTTCTTCCCCATTTCTGCCTGGCATTCCTGTTTAGTTCCATAGGAAATACAGAGTTTTCCCAGTGCTCCTTGCACTGGGGCCGTTAGTTGGAATTAGAAGCAGCACTTGCAGGTGGAAGGGCAAGTTAGACCAGGAAAGGGCTTCCCATGGCAATACAATTTGGAGGTCTCCTGGTGAAATGGCTCTGTGCCTCAGTTTCCAGGGAAGATAGCCAGCCACCATCTGATCTCCAGATTAAAATATTATTGCACATATCTCCCTGTTCTCAGTGCTTTCTGGATCTCTTCACATTTCGTATAAGGCAGCAGATGGACCAACATCTTGACAGGATATCATTTCTGCCCTTCAGGGTGCTTTGTGGAGGACAGAATGATCTTAGATTTATCCTTAGGCATCCCCCTCTCAGGGGCAGATGGGCCCTGCCTTGGGGAGTTGCTAATGGAAAGTGTCAGCTAATCTCATTAGAGCCTCCACTCAGAAGCACAGTCAACTACAAGGTCAAGTCCTCAAATCTGGAATGGAAGTGGCCAAAGAGGATGATGCTCTTTGCACCGCTGGGAGGTGCAAGCTCCGGGCCAGCAGGGCCCATTGTCCGCCCTGGTCAAGCCCTGGGTGAACATGGTCCCTGACTCCCTGATAAGATACGAGTTCCTTTGGAACAAACCACTCTTCAGAAGTCTAGAGCACTTGTGTTTGGGGCAGGAGCATCAGCTAGCTCTTGAGCCCCTTCTTCTTTCCTCTCTCCTCCACCTCTTGCCTCACCTGCGGTGCCCCTATCAGCCCACGTGCCATTCCCCGCTCTGTACTGATGAACCACAGCTTGTTGTGGCCTAAGGTCACCACATGTATTTGTTTCCTTCCTTTCTTCAAAGGCTTTCTGAACCACCCCCTCCCCATTCCGTTTCCCCTGATTGCCATGATAAGCCCTTCTTTCCCCAGAGACCCTTGATTCACTTTCTAATGTTAGTGTTACTGGCTATGCAACCCCTTTCCTCAAGAGAGAGTCTGATAGAACTCTCCCACGTTTCCTCCCACGGAGTTTGTCCCCACACCATGGCCCCCATACCTGTGAGGCTGCCATTGCTAGGGAGAGCTGGGGGTGGAGTGGGGAGCATGTTGGGCTGCTAACTACAGGTCAGCAGTTCGAACCCCTTAGCTGCTCCACAGGAGAAAGATACTTTCTGCTCATGTTAGAATTGACAGCCCAAAGAGGCAGTTCTCAGTCCTGTCGAGTCACTGTAAGTCAGAATGGAGTCTATAGCCATGCGTTTGTCTCCCAGGGGAGGAGGTGGGGGTCGTCTGTGAACTGACAAAGGTCCTGCTCCCCCCAGAGGGCTGGCTCTGTAGACTGCCTCTGGTTGCCAATCACCTCAGCCCTCCCAGAGTGTTGGAGGACATCCTAGCATGAGTCGGTCCGGTCCGCAAATGCGTGACCCCTGCAAGGGGTGAGCTGCAGTTCTAGGTGTCGTGGAAAGTAAAAAGGGAATGAACAGGCATGAAAAGAAGCTGAGCTGCAGCAAACATGATAAGATGGCTTTGTGTTGACCTCCTGGTGATTTAGGAAGGTCATAGGTAGTGCTTCCTGTGCCCTGTTATGTTAAGGGAGAGCAAAGAGTGGGGGTTTGTAGTGACACTATTCTTTGCTCATGTATCAGTATGTTTTTGAATTGCTGGGGGAGTTCTTGTGATAAGGATGGAGCACCGGGTATTGGGGGGAATCAGACAAGGGCTCTTTTCTGCCTCTTGGTCTTGATGTGAGGCCCAGGCTGACAGGAGGTGCACCACGACCGAGCCTCACTTGAGACACTGAGCGATGCATGGGCCAAGTGACCCAGTTTCTTTTGTGCCTCTCTCTCCTGAATGAAAGGCCCCGATGCCCCCTTGCCCAGGAAGGGCTTCCTCATCTTGACCTGAGCAGGGAGGGAGTCTCTGGTCTTGGATGTGCACCAGCAGCTCTTACCAAGTTCTCCCCTCTTTGTCCGGCCCTGTTTCCTCTTCTCACTGCAGGTTCACTTGCTGAAGGACCAGTTGGCTGCGGAGGCTGCGGCGCGGCTAGAGGCCCAGGCTCGTGTGCACCAGCTCCTGCTGCAGAACAAGGACATGCTCCAGCACATCTCGCTGCTGGTCAAGCAGGTGCAGGAGCTGGAGTTGAAGCTGTCCGGACAGAATGCCAGTAAGTGACGCCCTGCCCAGCCTCGCCCCACTCTGGAGGCGATGAGAAGCAGATGTTATTTTCCTGATGGGGTTTCTGGTGCTTTATGGGAACCACTGGCTTTCCCCTGTGTTCCTATAGACAACAGAGACAGCTTTGCATGCCTTATCCATACAGGTCATGGAATAGCAGAATGTCAGGGCCCCAGGGAGTCTTAGCTGCCTTCTAATCCAGTGCCCTTGGCTGTCTCCAGAGAGTTGGTGCCACATCAACATCCAGCCACTAATGGGTGGGGGCAGGAGTATCCTACCTCCTGAGCAAGTGCATTTCTCAGATTTGTTCCCCAGCCAACTGAGTCCCTACTGGGTGTCATGCCCTCGCTGTCTGAGGCATCATCCTTTTTAGTGATTTGCTATCTTAGTCTCATTGCAGTCTGTAGAAAATGCTGCAGTTGGGTCACTTTGGAGAACAGGAACCATTTTGTAGACTGGGAGTTCAAATGCAGGACATTGGCAGGGCCCTCACCCTCAGCTCTTGGGGAAGAACCTTGCATGTATCCTTCGGCTTTAGGTGTTTCTTGGTGTTCTGTGACTTCATATGATGGCTTCTCCCTGATATGTCTGCCTTTCTGTATCTATATTCCCCTTTATAAGACACTCATACGAAGGGATTAGGTTTAGGACCCAGCCTACTTCGGTATGCCCTCATTAACAGCAAAAGAGAACCCTGTTTCCAAGCAGGATCCCTTGAACAGGTACAGGGGTTCGAACGTCAATATATCTTTTGGGTGACACAGCCTATCTGTACCACTCTCTCGGCACTATTTATCTTCACAAGTCTGTAGCCCAGAAAGAAAAAGTAACCATCTATGCATTGACTGGGTAGAGGGGCAGCAGAGTAATTGCTGTTCTGGGTAGAGGGGGCCTGCCTGAGGCACTGAGCTACTGCCTCTAGGCAGGACTGGGCAGCTCTGGAAGGGGACACATCTCCATGCCTTTCGGTTGAGTTTACCCATGGGTTGCTTGCACTGTGCCAGAAACGGTGGCAGAATTCTACACAGTCGATGCTGTGTAATCCCTGCGATGGTAGAGACGCTATCCGAGTTTACACATAGGAAACAGACTCCGACAAAGGGAGATTCAAATCGCAGCTCCTGTGTCCAATTCCTGGAACCTCCCAGGAGTTAGGTGGCTCCACAGCAAATGGGACCTAGTCACTCGGGCATTTGGGGACCAATATGGAAGAACCTGTCTAAAAAAAAGCTGGGTGCATAATCAACACATGTGTGGGTGAAACAGGACACTGCAGCAGAGTCTGGCCAGTGAGTGGCTGGCCCTGTCAGGAGCTGTAGGAAGGGGGGGATGTGTTAAGAGATGCAAAGGCCCTATGAGGTGCCCTAAATTGGTGAGGGGAGGACTCTTGCAAGAGAACCGCCAGCAACCAACCGCCTTGCCTAACACTGCCCACCTTCTTGCCTCTCCCTCCAGTGGGCTCGCAGGACAGCTTGTTGGAGATCACCTTCCGCTCCGGAGCCCTGCCTGTACTCTGCGACCCCACGACCCCCAAACCAGAGGACCTGCACTCACCACCACGGGGCGCGGGCCTGGCTGACTTTGCCCACCCAGTGGGCAGCCCCTTAGGTAGGCGCGACTGCTTGGTGAAGCTGGAGTGCTTCCGCTTTCTCCCGCCCGAGGACACCCCGCCCCCGGTGCCAGGCGAGCCGCTCCTGGGCGGCCTGGAGCTCATCAAGTTCCGAGAGTCGGGCATCGCCTCGGAGTACGAGTCCAACACGGACGAGAGCGAGGAGCGCGACTCGTGGTCTCAGGAGGAGCTTCCCCGCCTGCTGAACGTGCTGCAGAGGCAGGAGCTGGGCGATAGTTTGGATGATGAGATTGCCGTGTAGGGAGGGCCTTGGGGGAGGAAGAGACCAGGAGGAGGGAGAGCCTGCGGCTGTGTGCAGGGGGATGCCTGACTCATGCGAACTGATGAAGATACAGGGGCCCGAGAGAGTATAACGTTTCAGAAATGAGTATGGATTTTGCTTTGGAGGGCCAAGCCGAGAAGAACTAGGATTCCCTGAGCCAGCCGAGACTCTGCGAGAGAGGCCCAGGCTGCTGTAGGACCTTCCAAACCCATGCATTATCCTCTGTTGTGTGGTGCCTGCTACCGCCTTGTGCTCCCCTTCTCCTCCGTGTGACTGTGAAGGGAAACCATCGGTACCCTCTCGGGTACTTTGTCTTGGGATAGCAGGATGCTACGAGTTGCCTGAACCTCCCCTCACCTGTTTGGGGAGGAATCCCTTCTCTAGGCCCTTGCACGGGTTCTTGCTATTGACTGCTCTGAGCTGTGAATGACAGGATACTCCTTTCCATCTGAGTGTGAAATGGAGATGTGTCACACTGGGTAGGCATTAGATTAATTGGGTCCAAAAAGTTTTCCCTAGTTGGATGTCCAGGCTCTTGCTGTGGGAGCCCCTGGGATGGGGGTGGGGAGGGGATGGGGGGGTGAGTGGGGAGACAGTCTTTCCTGCCATAGATCACTTCAGTATGGGAAGCCCTGCCCGCCTCCTGCCTGAAATCCCAGTTCTCCTAAATGGAAAGTTGGGAAGTTGTCCCTTCATCTCCCCAGTGTCACCCGTCAGGGGCCATGCCTGCTGAAGCCAGTGCCGTACTCCCTCTTGCCTCTAAGAAAGCATTGAGCCCCAGCCTGAGCTGGAGCCCAGCCTTACCTCTCAGCCTGTCCCCTCCGTTGGATAGTGGTGGTCAGTTCTTACTGGGGAAAAATAAAAAGCACGTGGGCTGGTAGCTGAGACATTAATCTTCAGAATCACTGCCACTTAGGTCAAGGACCGTAGCTGGGTCACCCTTGACCTGTCTCGGTGGGTATATGCCTAGAGCACGCCTCCAACAAGTGCCATGTGCAATTCTTTTGACCTTTATGGTCTAGATCTGGCCTGGATATCAGGCCTCAGTGCAGCAGGCTGGCTGGGGCAGTGAGGACTGGTCCCAGAGATTTAAACATTCCTGAAGACGGCCGAGACCTGTCAGAATAGTATGGTCAGTGAAATAAGGCTTTTTCTTGGACAAGAAGCTATAGACCCAGACTACAGTATTCTTTGAGGGTCAATTAGTAAAGTTTGGTTGCCCCCAAATAGAACTTTTCAACCTTCACTTGGCTTTATAATTTATAAATATGAAAGAGCTCTTGTACCACAACTTGATTTCTTCTAGACCAGAAAGTCCAAATTATGTAAAGGTAGCTTTACATTAACCTTCCTTGGAGATTTGTATACTGGTGTCATGAGACCTACGAATGGTGTGTGTGTGTGTGTGTGTGTGTGTGTGTGTGTGTGTGTGTACATGTGTGAAAGAAAATATGCACATGTATACAGACTTGTGAGGCATGACCTGAGATAAGACAATGGGATTCTCCAGGGTGTTTGACTCAGGGAAGGATCTGTGTTCTTTCCTGACATTAGTGAGAGGGGCTGCTCTGTGTTTATTTTCGGATTCACCATGGGAAGTAGGCCCTGCAACGTGAGGAAAGGAAGAACCAGGAGAGTGAGATGTGCAAAACAAAAGCAGCCGAGGTAAAGAATCCAGCTAGGTGGAAGCGACCTCGTTGACACAATCTCAATCCAGGGGTCCTGATATCTGAGACCTTGTAGATCATTAGCATGTCCAGTGTCCAGGGAAGTGGAAGGACTGGTTTCTCGAGGCTCACAGTCTACAAGCAGGAGCTGAGGATAAAATCAGAGGCTGATGAAGGAGGTGTGTGTTGGGATAGAGCGGGGTCGGGGGGAATTTGGAGAGGGGGTGATGACATGGGAAAGTTAGTTTCTAAAATGGTCTTAAAAACTGGGAAGGGCAAGAAGAAAGGTAGAAGAGAGAAGAATCAGAGAGGCTGCTTATCGCCAATGCTGGGGTGAGGCCCATGTGCCCCAAATCAGTGCACATTCCGAGAGTGGGACAAGGACAGATCATGGGGGGTTACCAGCCATCAACCTTCCACCGAGGCCACTGGGCAGGAGAGGGACAATTCTAGACCTGATTTCACAGCGATGTCACCCTGTCCTCCTCCTCTGCTTCTTGCTTTGCTAACTCAACTCCTGCCTTCCGGCCTTTCCTCCTCCTACTCTGACCGATGTGGAGGACAAGTGGACACCAGGGGTACCTGCCCACCTTGCTGGTGACAAAAGGCTGTGAGCCCGGTGGCCTGCCCCGGGTACCACAGACCACCAGGCTCTCACAGACGCAGAGCCGGCGACAATTCCTCTGACCAAGATGGATTGTACATTGGGTTGGAAATTACACTCCTTATATCAGTGCTCTGTGTAACGCCTCTCCACAGCCTCGCGTCTCTCAGCCAACCTTGTTGAGGGTTGGACTCCTTTTATTTGCTCTTTGCCTGAATGCTTTCTCCCACCCCACGGCCCCTCTCTTCCGTAAACTGTTGTGTCATTAACTCTGTTGGATTAATTCTCTGGGAAAAGATTCTGTTAATGTAAGTGCACTTACTCCCTGGATGTTGTCACTAGTCTAGTGGCTTTTGCTAAATAAACCTTTCTTATTTCTAAAAGCTTTTCCATGGTCACTTTCTTATTTCTTCTTCTACTATTTCACCTGCTCCTTTTCCTCCCCCTATCTCCACTCCACTTTCCAAGCCAGGTGGCCTCAGCTGGGTAACATGTGTTCTCCAAGGATTGTATACTTAGAATGAATCCACATGTTCCCTGAAGGAGGGGAGGGAGGAGGGACCCTTAGTTGCAACTTATATGCAGGGGGCTTCCAAAAGTTGGTGGAAAACTTTCACGATCTTTTCATTTAATTTTTCCCCCCATTAACTTTTTGAAGTCCTCTCTTATACCCGCCCTACAGAAAGCAGGATTTCCATCTACACCAGTAGTTCTAGCCAGGGACAGTTTTGCTCCCCAGGGGACAGTCAGCACTGCCTGGAGACCAATCGTTTTGGTTGTCACAGCTTGGTACTAGTGGGTGGAAGCCAAAGATGCTGCTAAACATCTTATAATGCACAAGGCAGTCCGCCCACCCCTACAAAGAATTATCTGTTCCAAAATGCTAGTGTTGTTACTACTAAGAATCCCTGGGTCTAAGAGTTATGTATTGAGCTTTTAACCTCAAGGTCAGCAGTTTGAACCCACCAGCCACTCCAAGAGAGAAAGATGAGGCTTCCTGTCCCCTGAAGAGTTACAGTCTTAGAACCCCACAGGGTCAGCCCTACCCCATCCTGTAGGGTTGCTATGAGTCAGAATGGACTCAGTGACAGTGAGTTTGGGTTTGGTCTCTACCCATGTGTGCAGACTCTTCCGACCCCAGCTCTATTCAAACTCCAAACATCTTGGGAATGATATAGGGAGTAGCAACAAATATTGAGTGCTTCAAAAGTATTGCAGCATATTGTATTTTTAAATAAGACTATAACCAAGATCTTAAGTGTTCACCAATTCCCAGAGGAAAATGTCTGTAATATGTCGTTGGAGTCTGAGTGGGACATTCTGAAAATGCCCACACTGGGGATAGAGGCAGCTACCCCACGCTCACCCAGGGTGGAGTCTGCTGTTGCCTCACAGCTCCAAAGAGGAGGTGGCGTGCTGGCAGAGAAGGCAGGGCTTGGGCAGTAAGGAACCACAGGGTCTCCCAAAGCCTACATTAGGAAAACCAGATTCCTTGGGCAAGAATGTCTAGCTGTTTGTTAAAAGCAGAGTGTGCTAGGCTCGGGACTGTGCCAGGCCCAGGCTAGAAGAGAAATTTGGAGAAACACTATAGCCACGTTCACATGCCTTGTCTGCTGCTTCTGGCTGAGTGAGCTGAGCCTTAGTTTTCTCATCTGTAAAATGGAGACAACTAAAAGCGACTACAAAGAGCCAATGAGATGACATTTTAAAAGCATCAAGCAGAAGATTTGGTGGTAACCCAGGGGTGATACAGTTCGCATTTTAGTTAATGGAGGTGTAGGCTGCGCCCCTTGCCGATCAAGACAGTCATTTCCAGGTGCCTTTTTCTGCTGAGCAGAAGCTCTCCTCAGAGCTCTCTACCGAGGTGGTTGCTGGGCTAGTAATGACACAAGCCTGCCCTCAGAGAGCAAACACGAGGCACTACAGTATCAGGCTGTGGCCCTTGGGCTTGTGCCCTGTCTGAGCATGGCTGGGCGAGGATGCCCAACAAGGTGAGCAGCTGGCTTCTTTCCTGGTTCTTCTCAGACTGTAGTGGTACCATGCATGGCCTCCTCCCCCACTCCCACCATGGTCCCAAGAACCCCCTTCAAGGGAACCTCTCCAAGGAGGGCTTCCCATTCACCTGATGAAGACTTGGGGTAGGTGGAGGACTTAGAGGGCATTTCCACTCAGGGAAACACCACCTCAGAACGAAGACTGAAAAGATTGACCCCAAGTCCCTATGTGCTATCCCCCTCAGGGAAAGAAGACCCCCAAATAAGACTGCTAAACATTTAGCTCATCTTCTGTCTTTTAAGCCACAGAGTTGGCAAACCATGTCCTCACTGTAGCCCTGGTGCCCACCATGCCTGGGGGAAGCTAGCTGTGAAGTCATGGGCACCCATTACTTATTAATAGGAAGCAGTATATTGTCCCTAACTGGTCTGTTTTGATATGGCTCCAAGCAGCCTTGTAACGTGGCTCCCTAGATCAAAAGTGCATTTTCTCTGCCTGTGCCGGAGATGTCTTTGTAAGTGTGAATGGCCATGGTGTATGCAGTGGAAAGGGGCAGTTCTATTTGCCTCTAATGCATAAGGGCAGATTGTCTTTCCTGTTATTTGCCTCTCAGAAGATCTCATGAGAGGGCTTTCACCCTGGGCAGAAATTATACAAGGGGAGGCTTTCCCACATGAACAGGAGAGACTGCCCACCCCTTATCTCTTCAGTGTGCGTCCACCTGAAGTGGGGCCTGTGCTGTGGAACCAGGGCTAAGTGTACAGCGATCAGCAGGTGGCCAGGATCCTAGAGCAGTGGTTCTTAAAATGGAGTGTCCATGGCGTTGCCTAGAGGACTGGTTAAAATACAGACTGCTGACTGCACCCTCTAACATGTCTAATTCAGTTGGCCTGGGGTGAGGCCTGAGACTTTAATTTCTGACAATTCCCAGGTGATACTGAGGTTGCACGTCACTGCCGGAGCCACTGTCTTTAGAAGTTGTCTTTCAAGGGTGAGCCAGGGAGCTTCCTGGCATTGCCAGGCAACCATTTGGCAAGGGAAAATAGGAACGGGGAGCATGCCCTGAGAGGGGCAGTAGATGGTGCAGGGTGACCTCAGACTTGACAGAAGACCATGCCTAGCATCGATTTATTGGCATCTCTTTAGAGACATAAATAGGCTTCGTGCCTTATTTGCCTGAGGTGTCCACTAACAAAATGGCTGCCACCACCCAGAAAGACTACTTGAAGGCTTGGCAGCTGCCCGAGGAGAGCCTGTCCCCTGGCCGGGCCTTTTGCTCCTTGCCCCAGAGGGTTTTGAGCTTTCTGTAGTACACCTTGCAGCTGAAGCCTTCCTTGAAGCCCCTTTTGATGTGGCTCTTGAGTGAGTGCAGGGTGGGGTACATGCGGCAGCAGGCCGCACACTTGTAGCCGTGCTGCTGGGCCGGGTGCCACTTGGAAGCCATGAGGATGTCCTGGGATGTGATATAGTCTATGGAGTCCAGGCTGTGCCTGGATTTCCTGGTGGCCTCTCGGGAGCAGGTGTTCTCGGGGGAGGAGGAAGACGAGCAAACACTCTCCGCTATGTCCTCCGGAAGGCAACTGTCCCCCCTGCCCTCGTCCCGCTGCACCTCTGGGAAGCTGTAAGCCTCCAGATGGCTCTCCTTGTCCGTGCAGACGAAGTAGCTGTAAGGGGAGAACCAGGGCCGGTAGATGGTGCAGCTCCGTCTCAGCTGTTCTCCATTCTGGGAGTCCCCCACTGTGCAGTCTGCAAAGGAAAGGGCTGTGTCTGAGCCTGAGCCTCAGGAAGGGAGCCTTGAGGCCTGACTGGAGGCCATTGGGTGGTTCAAGAAAAGATGAATGAAGGCAAGCAGTCAGGGGGTGACCTTTGGTCACCTCAGTGACCCCACCCACCCACCCTCTGCTGCCCTCCATGGTAGGGAGCAGGTCAAAGTTGGGGTGGGGAGAGCCCTCAGAGATGCTGTTTTCTTTGTCTAGCAGCACAAGTGGCAGCTCCATCCCTAGAGGAGAGGCCTCTTTGAATCCAGAAGCCTTGGTCTTCGCTGGGTCCTTTGACTCCCTGGGGGGATGCAGTCAGTTCACAGGCTTGACTGCTCGCTAGATGGTTGGAGCCTCAGGCTCTCCCAGAGACACCTTGGAGGAAAGGCCTGGCTGTCTCCTTCTGAAAAAGCAGCCAGTGACAGCCCTGTGGAGCACAGCTCTCCCCTGACACAAGGGTAGGCCATTAGTCTGCTCCCTCCCTGGTGACCCCTCACCCTCTGCTGCCTGTAAGCAGGGAGCACATTGGACAGGTGGCGCAGAGGCCAGCCGGGCAGACTGCGTCTTTCCATCACTGTGGGTGGTCTGGCTGGGACCGGTTTGTCTGCCTCACTGCCCTTCTTTCCTCATCAGCCCCAGGCTGAATCTGCAGGGGGCAACCTTGTCCATCCCGGTGGGGCACGTGTGTGTGCTCAGAGTGGAGAAGGCCTCACCTGGCGAAAGCACTGTGCTCGGCAGCCCATGCCGGAGAATGCTGCTCTGGCGCTGGGGCGGCAGGGCCTGGACAGAGCTGGATGCCTCAGCAGGTGTCACCGTCTTGGCAATGTCTGCGTTATAGAAGAAAGGCTCTGGTGAGCTGAGCAAGGCCGGGAGTCCACTTCTGGGGACTCACCAAGGCACACCTAGATCAGGCTCAACCTCAGCGCTTCAAGACTTCTCAAAGCCAAAGCAGAACAGGGCCTTTCTTGCACCGGAATATGCATCCCAGAGAGTCCAAATGGGACTAGGAGGGAGAAGTAAAACCTGGTCCAAAGAACACACCTCTCTCTGGCCAAACCTCACATGAGCCTCCAACAGCGCACTCTCTATGCATGATGTCGTTATATCATAGACCACGGGGTGGGATCTGGGTCCCAGGGTTCAGCGATAGTGCTCTCGCCATTGGCAGCATATATTATCACATAGTCCCTTTGAGGATAAGGGAGCCCTGGTGGCATAATGAACTACGAATTGAGCTGCTAACTACAAGATCAGCAATTCAAATCCACCAGGCGATCCGTTGGAGAAAGATGAGGCTATCTGCTCCTGTAAAGATATAAAGTTTCAGAAACCCAAATGGGCAGTTCTACTGTGTCCTAAAGGGTCATTCTGAGTCGGAACCAACTTGTCATAGTGAGTTTGGTTTTCAGACTTTGAGGATGAGAAGGGTAATTCTCCAACAGAAAGATCTCATCTCCACAGCCAGAAACTGCTCAGGTAGATCCTGAAGTGGCACCTGACGCTTGGCTAAAAGGAGACCTGTCTCAAATCTCGGAGCGGTCACTGTGCTCAGTTGGGAATGTGTATCAGTGCTGCGTGCGGAGGAGGCCTCTGGGTGTTTGGGAGAACTTCTCCACAGAACAGGACATCTCAAATGGCCATGTTCATTGGAATCACCTGGGGAACTTGTTAAAAATGCAGATTCTGCTGCAAGGGGCTAGAGCAGCGGTTCTCAACCTGTGGGTTGTGACCCCTTTGGGGGTCGAATGACCCTTTCACAGGGATCACCCGATTCATAACAGTAGCAAAATTACCGTGATAAAGTAGCAATGAAAAGAATTTTAGAGTTGGGGTCACCACAACACGAGGAACTGTATTAAAGGGTTGCGGCATTGGGAAGGTTAAGAACCACTGCTCCAGAGTCTGGATTGGGCCTGAGAGTCTGCATTTCTAACAAGCTCCCAAGTGATGCTGATGTTGCCAGTCCGCGGACCACACTTCGAAGGGCAACTCCCCTTGGAGCTTTATGCCAGGCCATGGCCCTCAGTGGCCACACCCCTCCCATTCTGACTTGATACGTCTAGATCTCCAGTTTATCACAACCATGGAAACCAGCACATTCTCTTTACATAGACCGACTGCTACCTTGAGATCTCGTGCAGAAGCCAGCTCGGGATGAGCGGAAACTTGGATCCCACGTTTTCCCCATTCTCGTCTTACCAGAAAGGAATAGACAGCAGGAGCTACTTACTACAAGGGCTGTGTTTCTGAGAAGTGGTTGTCTCCCCATGTGTTCACTGGCTCTCTCATTAAATCATGGCCCTGTCACATGATCTGGTCAAGTACTCGGTTCAATACGTCAAAAGTAACCCACTTCTCTGTGGCCCTAGTGGCCCCAGAGTTTACCTGGTAAACTCATGGCACGGGAGGAGAGGATGTCGGGAAAGGTGCTCATAGCTGAGGAAGAGATGCGAGGTCCAGAAATGCTGAGGAGGGAGAAGTTTTCCATCTTCTGACGACAGCAGGGTCCGGAGAGTGAGCGTCTGTCCCCAAGAGGCTGGGTGGGTTGTCCAGACGATAAACATTCTGAGCACAGTTGACATCACAAGATCATATGATTCCACTCACCAGTGAGGCCACTCCTTAAAATGTGGATGGAATCTTTTGCAAGACAAGATTTGACTAACGTGGCTTAGGGTTTCTGGCTTGTTACTCAGTCTTCGCCTGGGGCCTGCCCTGATTGTAAACACCCGGAGAGTAGGCTGTCCGGCCGACTGTAGTGGAAGCTCATTCCTCTCCGAATGGTCGTACCACTTTTCTTCTCTCTCTCCCATGTAATCACACCACCACACTACCACCACCAAATACTTTTCTGTTTATGTTTTCATTTTAGGGTTGGTTTGGGAAGTCATTCTGAACATAAGTCGTAAAGATAAAGTACCGTATATACCTTGTATAAGCCAAGTTTTTCAGCACATTTGTTATGCAGTTTTTGTGGTAAAATAAGGTGCCTCAGCTGATATGTGGGTCTGCTTATACTCGAGTATATACGGTAAATACAAGGAACAGCCATGTGCGTGCCCTGAATCCATAGTTTCGTCACTCCCTCACTCCTTGCCTCAGTCAATTCCAACAACTAAGGACCCTGTAGGATAGAGTAGAGGTTTCCAAGACTGTAACTCTTTACAGGAGTAGAAAGCCTCATCTTTCTTCTATGGAGCCACTGGTGGTTTCGAACTGCTGACTTTGCAGTTCATAGTCCAGCAAGTAATGCACTAGACCACCAGGGCTCCCTCATATGTGCCTAACATTAATATTTTACCTCCTAAGCATGCTCAGACCTTTCTCTGTGTGTGCATATGTGTGTCCACAGCCTGTTTGTTCCCAGCTCTCAGAAGGTAAGTTGCAAACATCCTGAACCTTCATGCCTGAATTCTTCTGTGTGTTCCCTGAAGATAGGTATCGTATATTATTTCAAAGGACAGTGTGGTGCATTGGTGGGAAGTTACTAAAAAGTGGGAGGCTTGACTCAATAACAGTTTGCTCAGTGTACACTGAGGGCGGTTAGCTGGTGAGATAAGGGCCCGAGAGAAGGCGGAGTTACCTTTATCTTATGAGAACCTGGCATGTGCCTGGGATGTGGCACATGGGTAGACGGCGATTGTGACCCCTGGAAGATGAGCTGGCAGCACCCAGTTTAGATCACCTGACGTTAGTCTCCGTCTCCACTTGATGGGGAAGAGACCGCTTCTCCTGAAGTGCCAGTGGGCCCCCTCTGTGGTGGGGTGAGGTTTATGGGGTGTGAGTGTGCATCTGCTTCTGCACCCTAGAGCCCAGAGGTGTCTTCTCGTGTGTTGTGAAACCTCAGTGTTTGACCGAAATCCTGTGGAGAACATGATTTCCCTGTTGGCACCCTGGTCATGTAGTGCGCTGTAACAGAAATCTCACCACTGAGTGGCTTTAAAACACAATCTTTTTTCTCCAACTTGGGGGGCTGGAGGTCCAAACCCAGGGTGCTGGCTGTCTCTCTCTGTTGAGTCTAGAGAAAGCTCCTTGTCTCTTTTAAGCTTTTGCTCTTGGGTGATCTTCATGTGGCTTGGCATCTCTCCTCTCGCACCCCTACTTGCTTGATGGTATAATCTCTTTTTTATCTAAGAAGAGGTTGACTTAAGTCATAGACTGTGTATTTCGCCATGAGCACAATAAAGACAGCCTGTTTCCAAATGGGATTGTAACCACAGGCATAGGGGCTGGGGCTTACAAGACATATTTTAGGAGGACATAATTCAATCGCTAGCACCTGCTTTGGCACCGTTAAGGGCATTGGCATGGTCATTGGGGATGGCCTGATATGCACAAAGACCATGGGTCTGGGAATCAGTGTGAGTTGCAACCCCTCTCGGCCACTTGGCTTTTCCACTTTTTTTACTTAAAGAGTCAGAGTGAGTGGATGAGCATCGTCCTGGCCCCACACCGATGGCATAGCCATGGTGAGACTGAGTGGCTCAAGCAGACTTAGAATTCCCCTCATATTCCTCCCCTGACAGCTAGGAGCTTAGCGATATGCCCAGCTATTTAATGTGAAGAGGGTGTACGTTATCGGGGAACATACGGGAAGCCACATTAACCAGTGCCTAGGTATAGAGTTTTAGAAACACAAAATCTGTTTCGGGTTAGTTGTTGAAAGTTCGTGGGACCCTGGAGTTCCGGGTTTGCGGTGTGTGGCTGCTGGTGGCGCAGGCAGGAAGTGACACTCTCGCAGTGGTTGGTCATTACATAAACTGTGTCTCTCTCTCATTTGTTTCCCACCTGCCTTCCGAGCCCCTTTCTCAGTCAGGTAAGACACCCTGGGGATGACTTGTGTCCCAGGTGCCCCCCTCTGCTTGGGTATGTGCATGTTTGGGGGTCTTGCTGGGAGGGTCGACCAGACTGGGTCCAGTCCCCTGTCTCGCCTCCATCACCATTATTTTCAGAACCACCAAGCCCCTCGTCCTGAGGAGCGGTGGGGAGGGACTCGCAGAACTTGTGGGTCACTGGTGGCATAAACAGGAAATCGACTCATTATGAATCCCTGGGTTGTGTGTGTTGGGGGCTGGGGGGTGTTGAAAGAAACCCCAGGAAGTGTCCCAGGAAGAGCCCCGCTTCTCCTGCCTTAAAAATGATTTTTGTAAATAGAAAAGGTGGTTTGGGAACAGTTTCCCCTAAAATGTCAGCCGATGTTGCAGTCATATTTCAGAGCCTCCGTAGACCAGTCAATCCCATTAAACCACTGTGCTAAATGCTTACGTGGCCGTTTGAGCTGATCAAAATCACCTACGACACTCAGTCCTCTCAAGGAACCCACCGTGTTACTGTGGCAAGCCAGAGAGATTTATCAGACAGATTTAGAGAATTGTGTAAGAGAGTATCTAATGGACTGTTTAAGTTAGTTACGAATCTGGTGTCGGAAGGGTACTTCAAAAAGCTCATCGAATATCCAGTATCTTTGCCTTCCATTTTTCCGTGAATTTTTTGGGTGCTCCTTCATATTTTATAGACTAAGTTCTGAAGGTCCGAAGGGTCCAAGCATAATCCAAGCGTTATTTGTCTGTTGGGAGTATGTTTTAATAAAACTAATGCTAACGGGCACACAATCTAGGAATCACTGTGACAGGCGGTCTGGGTACTCCCCCTTTTAAAATGGACTCGGCCTGCTCTGAACGTTCGCTTTAAACCAATAAGGAAACCACACAGACGTAGCTAAGCCAGGAAACGCTGGGGTGTTTGTCTTGCCCAACATACCTCCCTGGAAACATCCAGTGACCAAAGTACCTTCTGATGGGGAAGGAAATAGTAAACTATTTCCATTCCACGGACTCCTCTGCTAGCGTGAACGTGTCAGGAGTAGAGAAGAATGTGAAACGCTAGAAGGATACTATGCCAAGGGGGAGGGCAAGGCAAGATAGGCTGTTCATGCTCACGAGTTGGCGGCCCTGTTCTGGTGTGTCTCGGCCTGTGAGCCCAGCACAGCTGAACTGCCAGCCCTGCACCCTGTATCCCAGGATGCTCTCACACCAGGGCCCTGGAATGTCACCCCCTCAGTGGTGCTTGAACCTGCTCATGGGTTTGGAGGCTTACAAAAGGGAAGGATGTGGAGTTCATTCACAGAGGTAGCTCGCCACTCCTCTTCCTCCTACTGCTGCTCCCCTAACCCCCACTCCCGCCCCCCACCCCCACCCCCAGGCCCTTGGAATATGGCTATCTCAGGAACTGGCCCAGAGGAGCCGTGTTTGCTGAACCCGCAGGAAAGAGAAAGAGGACTCCTGGCCCCAAGAGTCGGCAGGGCAGGGGGAACAGCTGTAGGCAAAACGTTTTGACAGAAGAAAACCAATGTTCCAACCTCAGATCCTGTTAGGAAGATGCACTGAGAACAGTCCCTGGCCGAGGAGTAACCACGTGTAGCTAACTCTTCTCCAAGATCGCCTGGGGAGTCAGGAAGGACAGATGCCTTAGGTGTGGTTCCAGGGAACCCATGGCCAGCTTGAGGACCGAGCTGACTCTGCAGGTAGGAAAGGATACCCAGGTGCTAGTTGGTGGCTGGGAGCTTGCCCAGAGCCCTGAGCACAGAATCCAGCCTCTCCCAACCACATACCTTGGAAGCTACCTTCTTAGCTTCTGCACTTTGCCATCCCCAGAATGTGTTGGCTGCTCAAGTTATTTATTGAGGACCTACCAGACTGACCGGGGCCCCACGCATGTATATAACCCAGTGGGTCCACATCAATGCCTTGAGTTAAATTTCTGAGCCGAAGAGAGGCCTCGGAGAGGACTGTGTCTGCCAGGCTTGATTGGACAGCTGGGCGTGGGACCAGGAAGGGCACAGGACAGTGGAAAGAGCCAGGAACTTTGAAGGCCTGAGTTCTAGTTCCAATCTCACCAGTTCCTAGTTGTATGACTGGGCACAGCAGTTACGGTAATTATTGTGAGTCCTGCGTTCCTCAGCTGTAAATAGGTGGCTTAGCCATGCTCACCTCACTGGGAGTCAGTGAGCTGTCGGTCCAGATTCTCCTGCTTCGTTGGCACCAACTAAGTCCTTGTCCATTTGGTGTGACCTGAATCCAAGCCTCTGAGTGCAGTTACCCACCTCAAGGGCACGGAATAATTGCTGGCCCCCTTTCCCGTGGAGCATGGTGCGTGCCATGCAGGTGGCTTTCCAATGGGAGCTCCCTACTTGCCCTCCATCTGTCTTGGTCACAGAGCACAGCGCCAGCTCACAGTGATGTCAGAGTGCCACAGGTGATCACGTCATTCTCATTTCTTCTTTGCATCTGAGGGCCCAGTGCCCTCGTGGGAAAGGAGTCGAGCTCTGAGCCAAGGAGGCCGGTTTCCGAGGCTACGTTAACTTTCCTCTGGGTAGGCTTGGGCAGGGATTAACTTGGGCAGGGCAGAACTAGAATTTCTGGTCCCAGCAAGAAAACGGAGGCTGGAAGTGTTCGAGAGGGTCTTGGTTCGTTCTGGACTATTTCCAGAGCCTTCCATGGTTATTTGAATGTTCTGAGCATGGTGTAAGGAGAAGGGAAGCAGGGATATGCTTCGCGAAACCCCTCTGCCCCATTGCTCACCCGTGTCTCCATCTCCCCCTCTCTCTGTGTAGTTGACCACAGCATGTTTGAGAATCTGAACACAGCCCTCACGCCAAAGCTGCAGGCAAGCCGCTCCTTTCCCCACTTGTCCAGGCCTGCGGCCCCCAGCTCTGCCCCACCGGGGCCTGGGGAACCTGGTACGCCAGGACTCTGGGTGGGCAGCAGCCAGCACCTCAAGAACCTTGGCAAAGCCATGGGGGCCAGAGTCAATGACTTCCTGCGGAGGAAGGAGCCCTCAAGCCTTGGGGGTGCAGGGGTGATGGAGATCAACAAGACCGTGGGTGCCGAGCTGGCCAGTGGAGTTGACATGGCAGCAGGGCCCTGGCTGGAGGATGAGCGGTGAGTACACCCCACCCACCCACCCTCTACCCCCACCCCAGTGCTCCTGCAGCTCCGCAGAGGTATGTCTGCTGATGGTCTCCAGGGAAGAGTCACCCTGAGGCAGAGCTATGAAATTGTCACGTGAAGAACTGCTGCAGGAAGAGCTTGCTGTTTGTGCGCGCTGGCTTCACCCTCCACGATCACTGCTGCATCTCCTGAGCGTCTAGCATGATCTTGGCGCCCTGCCGCAGACTGCAGCTGCTTCATTTTACCAAATCCTCCCAAACAACCCTATGAGGTAGAGTAGATTACTTCCACGTGGCAGGTCATTAGAGTTCCCGGACGGGCTGTGAGCTGCAGCAGGACACAGCCTTAGTAACTAGTTCAAACCCAAGCCACTATTAGCCTTGTCCAGTTGACCAGGGCGAATGCTCAGTCAGAGCCTGAAAGGAGGCCAGCTTTAGCCCAACATCAGGAACATCTTCCTAGGGTGCAGAGCCACTACAAGATGGTATCTTAGAGACGAAGTGAGCTTCTTAGTCCTGAGCCTGTCAGAGAGAGTCTGAGTGCGAGGTTGAACTGGCCGCTCTTTGCCACGCTGGGAGGGGGTGTGGATCCTGAGCTCTCTCCAGGGAACCACACCTGAACAGGAAACAATATCCCCTTGAGCCAGTAAACCCTGCTTGATGGGGAGAGAAGAAGGTGGTGGGTAAGAAATAAAATCTGCACTGTCGGGCACCCTGTCATAAACACACTTTGTATGCTTCAGAAAGTATCGCTGCTAAATCGTAGAAACTTAGTGAAAGTAGCAAACTGTGAAGCGATTGACTCCCAACACGTTTTCCATCTGGGCCCAGACACTTCTGAAGGCAGCGTTTCAGCCTCTCCCCCTCCCCCGCCAGGAGCCCTGGAGGAGCACTGGTGACACGTGGGGCGGCACTCGCCGTTGGAAACTGCCAGCAGCTCCTGGGGAGAAAGACTGGGCTCTGTGCTCCCATCCGCAGTTAGTCTGGAAAACTCGCATTGACTCAATGGCAGCGAGGTGGACGGAGCTTCCCTGGAGAATTCTGTGCTCCTCGATGTATCCCACACCCTGAGGCGGCGTTGGTGGACTTGAGACATTCCTGTCCATGTGCCTTGGCATATTCTTTGGGTTTAGAAAACAAAAAGGAGTCCGAAGGGCAAGATCAGAGCTGTAGGGTGGAGGGAGTCTGGTTTCCCAAGGAAATTCTTGTAGGACAGAATTGGCTGCCTTTAGAAATAAGCATGATGTCATGTCACGATGAGAAAAAAATTCCTCAGGGCAACGTTCCGGGTCTTTTCCTCAAAATGCAGTTTTCTGTTGTCTTAAAGCTTCTTTCCAACAACCCCCATGGTAGACGTATGTCCTCCAGGAAAACCTAGGAAGGTGACCCCTTGGGATCCCAGAGAGCAGTTGCCATACCCTTCTGAGCTGACCTCTCTGCCTTGATTTTCTTTAAATCATTTTATTGGGGGCTCATGCAACTCTTATCACAATCCATGCACGCATCAATTGTGTAAAGCACATTTGTACATTCGTTGCCCTCATCATTCTCAAAACATTTGCTCTCCACTTAAGCCCCTGGCATCAGCTCCTCATTTCCCCCTCCCTCCCCGCTCCCCCCTCCCTCATGAACCCCTAATCATGTGATCTTACTGTCCTCAACCTTACAGGCCTGCCCTGCAAGAAGCATTCCCACGATTGGACCCTCCGCCGCCCATAACCAAGAAGCGAATCCCTCGGGCCCTGAAGACGACCCAGGACATGCTGATTTCGTCGCAGCCTGTCCTGAGTAATCTGGAGTATGGGACAGAGCTGTCGCCCAGACAGCCCCAGGACTCCCCACCCACTGCACTTTCTCCCAGAGAGCCCATCACCGACGACGCGCCCCTGCCACAGGCCACCTCGGAAATGGCGGAGGAAGTCGAGGCCCTGCCCAATGGAGAGGTCTCCCTGTCGGTGCCTGACCTAATCCACAAGGATAGCCAGGGCGAAGCCAAGCTGAGGATGGCCGAGCGGGAGCGGAGAAGAGCCTCCTCCCCTGGCCTCATGGAGAGAAACGGTCTCAAACTCAGCCTGAGCCCCATCAGCCTGGCCGAGCCCCTGGAGGACTGCAGTCCCCCTCCTCGGGCACGGACCTCCAGCCTTGACAACGAAGGCCCTCACCCAGACCTGCTGTCCTTCGAGTAGAGCCTGTTCTCCTTCCTGCTGCACGCCACACCCCTCACTGCCTCCGCTTCCTTCTCCACTGTGCACACCGCCCTTCCTCCACTCCCATGGGCCCTTGCTCCTCCTGGCAGAGCTGGGTCTCCCATCATGGGAGGTGCAGGACCAGGGTCCTAGTTGCTGAGCCAGTCTGCAGAGCCGGGCTCAAGGGCCATCCCTGATCGCCATCTTCTGTTGGCTTCTCTGGGTGCTGGCTCAGCCCTTGGGTACCAGAGTGTGTCCTGGTTTCCAGGTGGATGGCAGGAGCTCCAGCCCAAGATGATGGGCCTTGTGGGCATTCTCTCGGCCTGTCTTCCCCCATGCTGCCTACTCCCCTGCCCTCCAGGTGGGGGGCTCTGGGCTCCCTGCCTGGGAGGAATCCAGCTGAATGAGGAATGATGGGCTGGCAGGTTAGGCTCAATGATGGTCCCTGGCCTGAAAGCCATACCGCTGACCCTGACTGAGCCCAGGTACAGTGCCTCCGTTCCAACTGCAGCCTGGGCCCTCAGGGCTCAATCTGCCTCTCACGGGAGGGGGCCATGTGGAGGGGAGGTGTGTGTGTTGGGGCAGTTCAGAGGAGATGCTTTCCAGACCTGAGACACAGAGGTCTAACACCAGGTTCTCCAGGGTTCCCCTCTGGTTAGATACAGCGAGCGCTCCCTGGGAGCCAAGCACAGAGCCTGCTGCTGAGGTACTGCCAGCTGTCCTCCAGCCCCCTGCCCAGCTGCCAAGCCCCAGGCTGCTAGCCCCGCCGCCCCCCGCAGCAGGCGAGCTCTGGCTTTGCAGTGAGGACCCAGGAACTCCCGAGCTGGTTTGGCCTTGAGGCTGGTCCTATTAGAGCCCAGAGCAGAAGTAGTAGATGAAGAAGGGGAGACAGGGTGCGAGAAGATCAGCCAAATGCCTGCAAGGACACAATCCCAAGGGCCGGGCATGCCAGCGTGAGGTGAGTCCGAGGGAGGTCAGCAGTGTCTGGCCTGTGGAAAGAAGTGAGGCGGCCATCCACTTTTAATTAAGTAGAAGGGGCTTTGCTGTGTGTCGTCCCCCCACCGCCACCACTCCCAAACCCTTGCCTCCCCAGAAGAGCCTTTGCTGGACCCTGATGCCCTGTCTGCTCCTGCTCTCGGGAGGCTCCTCTGCCTCACCGGTGGCTGCCCTCCTGGGTCAGTGCAGTTTGTGTTCCTGTCTCCCAGCAGGTGTGCTGTCTTGCTGCTTTCTTGTGGCCCAGAGACCCTGTAAACGGGGGACCCCCAGCCTGGGGGCCTTTGCAGAGAGAAGAGCATCACGTTCTTGAAAGCCAGGCAGCGTGGACCTGATCAGGACTGGCCATGTGGCATCCTGCCTCCTCTTTCCCAATCATCCTCGACTTGCTTACCCAAGACGCCAGAGCTCACCTCCCGGTTCATCATACCTCTTTCAGCTGGGGGGCCAGAGGTGCTATGCTGCCTCCAGGCCACATGGAATGTGGCTCACTCCATATCGGGGAGTGGGGAGCGGCAGGGGTTCCGCTAGTGTGTGGGCTGCCCTACGGGAGCTCTTGCTGCTGCAGCTGTGTGACCTGCCTTCCCACCCCGTTTTCTGTTGTGTCTTCCTTTCCCTCGGAGCGATGCTCCACCTAGGGCGTACAGCACACCTGGCCTCACCTTCCCCAGCAGGGTCCATCCTCCTGCGGCTGAAGCCATCGGGGTGTCACTGGGGGTGGGAGTTCTGCTTGGCTCCAACAACATCACAGGGTGCGCTACATGCCTCTCATGGTCAGAGGAGTGCTCCGGCCTAGTGTCTTGGGTCCTGTGTTTTTTTCCCACAATGGTTTGGGGTTTTCACACTAAACATATAGATAGAGGTGGGATCTTATTCTTACCTGCTTACAAGTGGGCCCACCCTGCACAACAGAACAAAACGATGCCCCATCCTGTGCCCCCCTCCTGTTAGGTTGCCAGTTGGGCATGTACATACCCGTCTTGGGAACAAGTCCATCTGAGCCGTGCTTCTCATGCCAAACGTTCTCTCACTACTTTGATGGGAAGCATGCCAGGCTCCAGTGCCAGGTTCGGACGTTGCAGGTCTGCACCACTTAAAGCACCCTGCTCTCCGCTCCACACCCAGCCTCCACCCTGGCCCTCAGACACAGCATCACAGAGGGGTCCTTCCAGGTATCCTGGGACCACTGTCAGGGTGACTGCAGAGCTCATTAGCATCTGATACCCAACACGAAACTTTGGGGCCCTGCTCGGTCTGGCCCCTCTGACCTCTGCACCGTGGCTCCCTCCTGTACAACAGGGGCTATGCTGCTACCTTGGGGGCTCTCTGGGCTGGAACTTGTTCCCGGATGCTGTAGCTATGACTGGTGCTAGGGGCTAAGTTGCACCCAGAGCCCAGCAGGTGCAACTACTTTAAATTCTTCCTGCCTGTGGTCTGGGCTCAGACCAACCCTCCTCTGCAAAGCCCCACTGCTGGTCTCTGTCCACCTCGGCAGCCTGACCTCCCTGTTGGCAGTTTGACAGTCACCCATACAGTGCCCTGGTAGTCTGGCTTCTCCAAGCAGTGCCTTCAAGCAGCCCAGTCCCCACAAGGGTTGGGTGATGAGGAATGAAGAACCAATCTGTCTCCACCTAAGGAAGCTGGGGCCACAGAATCCCGTCTCTGTTATTCCCCCAGCCTCCCTTCCCCTGTATTCAGCACAGAGCTTTACCCTGAAAGACCACATGGTGAGCCTCTAGACCCTGGCAGGGGGATGGTGTATTCCCTGCCCAGAGGGGAATGCATCTGTGGATGTGTCATATATGTGGACGGTATGAAGACAGACATGCAATCCACTGATTACTGGAGAACAAGGAGTTGGTCCTAGGTGGGTGGAGGAAGAAGATTACCAATGGTTTTGGAGAATTTCATAGAGATTTTATATTTATATGTTTAGTAATCCTCTGGTAGAAGGAAGCTGCACAATAAAAGTTATTTGGTTTGCTTCGTGTGTTCGTTTTCTTCTCCTGGTGAACGAGGAGTGGTTGGTTTTCATGGCTTGTCGTGAGCATTGACCAGATCCTGGTGAGCCTGGGAGAGGGAGAGGGCTGGGAGGGATATAGGAGCTACTGCCAGCCCCCCAGTCAGAGACCCTTGGATGAAAACAGTCTTTCAGGACATGGGATTATTTCTTCCCAAAGGGGCCCTCCTCGTCCAACCCTCACCTGCTGCCCTTCCAGGCTCATCGGGCATGTGCACACAGGTAGGACTTCCTCCAGGATGGATGCGGGTGGCCATGGGACCATCTTGGAAGCCAGTGGTTGTTATCCTGTGTACGTAGACACCTCTACGAAATTGGAGGTGGAGCCATGTGCATATGCGTACATTCTGAGAGGGACAGCTTTGGTCACGTACTCAAAGGGCATCAAACCAGAGGCAGACTCTGCCATTGAGTCGATGCCGACCCAGAGATCCTATAGAACAGTAGAACTACCCCTGTGAGTTTCCTTGGGAGCAGTCGGTGGTTTCAAACTGCTGGCCTTGCACTTAGCAGCCCAATGCATAACCACTACACCACCGGGGCTCCCCGGTGGAGCATCCCCATTGGCAAATGTTAACACCCAGAACTGCTGACTTAGATACTCTCCTCGCTGTTACTCTTCGGAGTCGTCTCCTGAGACTGGCCTGGCCGCTGATGGAGAGGGTGTGACCTGCCAGGAAGCTGCCCTGCACCCGCTTTGTCCCATTGCTGCCTCTAGGCCTGTATCACACCCAGGGATCCAGAGAACCTCACATAGCTAAACATCCCCCAGGATTGTGACCGTAGAGGGAAGGAGGTGGGGAAAAGAAACGGAAGCTATTTAGTCATCACGGAAGCCGTGGCATCGCCATAGTGGGAAAGACCTGTCCTTTGTGCCCGTCGCTCTTCATTTAACCCAGGGGCTGGATTCTAGGTTTGGCCAGGAGGGGTCCCCTGCCTCCGCAGGGCAAGGGTCTTGGGTATGAGCTCAGTCTCTAAGAGTTCCCTGCTTTGAACTCCATCCCCATACGTCATCCTGTGACCAGGTGCAGGGAGAGAACGGCTGGGCTGGCGGTGGCTCACCTCGGCGGGGGGGTGCAGCATAGTGTTCGGGGAAGACAGGAATTGCACAGAAGCCAATCCAGCCTATTCCTCATATGGGAAGAAGGCATCGAAAATACTTAGAATAGCGTTTTCCCCTTGGCCCCCGCGCCAGTGACTATTCTTCAGGGAACCTCTCCCATTGGGTGGCTTCCGGGTCAGCTACTGCAGTTGCTCAGGTGTGAAATATGCCCTGATATGCCTTCCTTGCTTGCTATTCTGCAAAGTACTTGTTTGGGGCTGAGCTAAATTCTGAAAAAGTGTAGTATGGAGAAGAAAAATAATGAGGGAAGTCTTGCATATGAAAACCGATGTGCACTTATCCTGTGCTCTAAGCTGAACCATAGGATGCAAAGATGGAATTAGCCAGGCGAGGAGGCTCCATCATCAAATTTGTGGAAAAAGCAGAATGGAAAGATAATAGAATTTCTCCCACAACGTTTTTAAAGCCTCCTGGTCTACCCAAACCTCTACCTTGAGCTAGGGAACCTTCCTCCCTGCCATCGAGTTGATGCTGACTCATAGCGATCCTAAAGGACTGGGTAGAACTGCCCCTGTTGGTTTCTGAGACTGGAGCTCTATGGGCATAGAAAGTGGCTAGTGGTTTCCAAGGGCAGCCCAATGCATTAACCACTATACCAGCAGAGGGAGCCCTTAGTTGGTGCCAATGGTCAATGCACTTGCTCAAACTCACCGAAAGATTGGAGGGTCAAATACCCATTTATAAACTATCAAGGGCTCATGCGGGAGGGGGTAGCGGGGAGGGAGGGGAAAAATGAGGACCTAATGTCGGGGGTTTAAATGGAGAGAAAATGTTTTGAGAAACGATGTACAAATGCGCTTTACACAATTGATGTGTGTATGGATTGGGATAACAGTTGTATGAGCCCCTAATAAAATGTTAAAAAAATAAAATTAAAAAGTCAGTAAAAAAAAAAAAAGATTGGAGGGTCTTGTTTTCTTTAAAAAAAATCATTTTATTGGGGCCTCATACAAGTCTTATCACTATCCATACATACATCCATTGTGTCACGCAAAGACTGGAGGTTTGCATCCACCAGAGGCACCTAGGAAGAACAGCCTGGTGGTCTACTTGAGAAACAGCCATTGAAAGCCCTATGGGGCACAGTTCTAGTCTGACACGCATGAGCTTGCCGTGAATCGCAATCAACTTGACAGCAACTGGTGTGGTTTGTGTTTACCATGAGCTCAGTGCTGGCTTGTTCTTTGTACATAGGGTTGCTATCGGTGCGGACCAACTCAAAGGTCCCTGACAATATCAAGTGCTGTGTTGGGTGCTGTGGTAACTGGTAGGGATTGGGCATGAGGGAGAGCATGGTTAGGTTTTCTCTCTCACCAGCTGACAATGGAGGAAGACACTGTGGTCATCCCTGCATTATGCAAACAGGCTACTTTAGCAGAATATGAAAGTTATAATGCTACTTTAGCAGAATATGAAAGTTATAATGCTACTTTAGCAGGATATGAAAGTTATAATGGAAACATTACAAGGGTTAATTCCCACTGACCATTGGGCTTAGTCTGCCTACTGCAGTGGTAGAAAGGAACCCACAATTAGGCCCTGCTTGTGGTGGTGGGGGACCCCAGATTGTGCTGAATCAGCTACTCCAGGACTGCACTCAAGATGCTGCCCCAAACACAGAGATGTCTCAGTCAACAGACTCAACAGTTGGATGTAGAACCTCTTTAAGGTCAATAGACGACATACATACAAATGTGTTTGCCACAATGGATGGACGGATGGTTGTGATAAGAGCTGTATGAGGCCCCAATAAAATGATTTTTAAAAAGAGTTAGAGTTACAGTCTCAGAAGCCACAGTGGGCAGGTCTACCCTGCTGTATAGGGTCACTATGTGTAGGCATTGACTCCAGCACAGTGAATTTGAAGGGTTTTTTTTTTTAGTTTTAGTTTGAGGGCTCAGGGACTAGGGGCAGAAATGAGGAGTGACCATTTATGGGTATGGGTGTCTTTACAACATAAGCAAGTTCCAAAACGAAGTGGTTACACAACTATGGGTATAATATTTAAAATCACTGAGGTATACACTTCAAGGGGTTAAGTTGCATGGTATGTGAAATTATGTCAACATTATGAGGGGCCTGAAAAAGCTCGTGGAAAAATGCAATTAAAAGATCATGGGTTTTTTACATGAACCCTTTGAAGACCCTCGCATTTTAAATAAATGATCCTTGATTAAAAAACAAGATCCCCCACACACACACTATCATGATCCCAATCCTGCCTTACAAAGCTGGCTAGACCAGAGGATGTACACTGGTACAGATAGGAACTGGAAACACAGGGAATTGAGGACAGATGATCCCCTCAGGACCAGTGCTGCGAGTGGTGATACTGGGAGGGTGGAGGGAAAGTGAGGAGAAAGAGGGAACAGATTACAAGGATCTACATATAACCTCCCCTCTGGGGGATGGACAACTGAAAAGTGGGTGAAGGGAGACGTTGGACAGTGTAAGATATGACAAAATAATAATAATTGATAAATTATCAAGGATTCATGAGGGAGGAGGATCAGGGAAGGAGGGGGTAAATTGAGCTGATACCAAGGGCTCAAGTAGAAAGCAAATGTTTTGAGAATTATGGCAACAAATGTGCTTGACACCAAATGGATGGATGTATGAATTGTGATGAGTTGTATGAGCCCCCAATAAAGTGATTAAAAAAAAAAAAAGATCAATAGAATCCTGGTGTTGTTCTAGATCTCTGCCTGGACCCCTGTGCTCCCTCCACTTCAGGCCCACCACCCTGGGGAAGGATGAGCTCCCAGTCCGGCCTGGCAGGTGGTGGCAACGCAGCGATGGCTTCTCTTGGAAGATGTAGTGCCCTGGGACCCTTGAGCTGAGCTCTCTGAGCAGTGCTCCCCTGTGGGGCCACTGCCAGGCTTGAGAGGTGCCCTGCCCTTGTGTGTGAGAAAAAGTAATTGAGTGCCCACAAAGAAAGAGCAGCACTCACAGATGTACCCCCACCTCCCAAGAGCCCACTTCCTCAATGCAGATGGCATTTGGTGCCTTTTCATCTCTCCCAAAGAAAGCCACTTGGGCAACTTCAATTTCAGTTGTCTGGCAAAAGCAGCTTCGAATGTCTTACCCCTCCAGGGCGCCCGTCCTCCCTGCTGCTGCTTGCACTGGGGGACCCATGCTGAAAGCTCCCAGTCCCCACAACTGACTTCTTACTAATGAGAAAATTCCTTCACTCTCGGTATCTAGGGGCTCACCCTCCTGAGACACAAATCCTCTTTGTGCCCAGCTTATCTCCAGCTGCTGCCATGATAAATTGTCCGGCTCACAGGAGCCTGGGGAAGCTGACCCCTGGAAACGGAGCACTGGGTTATTAACAACTCAGATGGGGCAGCAAACAGGAGGAAATGTTTACAGACCAACACAAACACACCAGGCTAGGTTTGCCATGGGGGGAGTTGCCAGAGGGATCCATCCTTTGCACAGAGCAAGAAATGCTACCAGTGTCTTTCCCTCTGAATAGAACCCCCCAAAACAACAACACACTACAACTTTTTTTTAATCTGTTCAACAAGTCAGCTGTTGGCAGCGCCATCTGCTACAAGTCCCTTGCTGCCTTCTTCCTCAAGCCCCCCACCCCGGGGCTGCTACCTTCTCCTTTTGGGTGATTGTGTTTCTTATGTAACCCCTGTTGGCATGGTTTAAAGGAGCGCTGGTGCCATAGTTAGTTTACAGGTTGGGCTGCTAACCACAAGGTGAGCAGTTTGAAACCACTGGCCACCCTGGGGGAGAAAGAAGAAAATCCTACTTCTGTCAGGAGCTCCAGCCTCGGGTAGCCACAGGGGCGGGGCTGCCTGCGGGCAGTGAGTTTGGGTGGTTGGCTTGG